AAAGAAGGGATGTCAAAGCTAGTAAGCAGTTGCCTCATTGCTTCTCGTCTGTTGGAAGGAAAAAGGACTGCGTTTTCAGGGAGTGAATCTGTGAAGAAATAGTCTTCTGTGTTTCTAAATAAACCCTGAGCACCTGGCTTACTGCTTATGTAAATGTAATATTATTAATATAAATATTTACAGGTTAAAGAAAGGAGAAATACCCAGAAGTACGAGCTAATATAGCCTGGAAAACTGGTGTATGCTGGAAGAAACTGGCAGAAAGAGCACGACAGCTGTTAATCTGGGTGGCAAATGAAGCCTTGTCTGGACCTTACACTTGCCTGATCATTGACCAAGTGTGTTCTTCATAGCGTTTCTCTTGAGCTTTGACCCTAAGGCCATGAAGTAATAAAATGGGTTTTGGACAATGTGTCCTTTATGTAGTATTTGAGCAAGGAGAGACAAAAATCTGGTGGTTCCTGGAACCAGTTGTGGAGGGCTTTCTTACAAAACCACTTGAAGCGGGAGTGACAGAACCAGATGAAGTGGCAGTGCCATGGCAAAAGAAAAAATAAACAATGGCCATAATTGCTTGCAGGTTTATTGTCTGCAGAAACATCATTTTTGTTGTCAGTCTGGGGCTTCCACCACAGCTGTCAACAGCCTGTTGATGAATGTCTCAATTTCTCCTGCTTTTTGGAAGTAAGGAGCTTGCCCTTGGACTCTGGAGCTGTTTTCTGACCTAGAGTGGAGGAAAGAGACAAACACTTCGGTACCACACCTGTTGCCTGCCGGGTGGGTTTGTAGTGATTTCTCTTCATTTGTGCCTTTTTCAACACCTTGGGAAAAAAACACAAGGACCAGGGGAACATCCTGGTGTTTGTGAGGGTGTTTACAACCAGAAATGATTCCTGTGAAGAGCTGAAACTCTGAAAAGTTTGGCTCGAGCTGGTAACTGTATTAACCATCTGATCTCCAAAGAGCAGGAGTCAGACTCCCTGTGAACATCTCAAATTATTTTTGTTTTCCAACATCTATCTTAAATAACCAGGCTTTGCTGAAGCTGCCGGAGTCCTTTTATTAATAGTAGTGTCAGGACTTCTCCGTGTAACACGGGAAAGCAACGAAACCTGCTGTTCGTCTGTGATGCTCGGAGATGACGTCCTGCCCGGGGTGTTTTGCCATAACGTGGAATTCGTGAGAAGGACGTGCTTTATCTGGTTTTCTTTCTTTGTTTGTTTTCCTGCAGGAGGAGGAAGGTGACTGATAAGTTGCCTCGAGGATTACTTCATGTAGTGTGTACCCAAGATACATGAAGGCTGTTGAGGAATAGAAATGGTGTGCTGCATTTTAAGGAGAATAAAACTACTTTTTTTTTTTCTTCCCCATGAGACTTGTCTCTGTAAAGACGCCTAGCACAGAAATAGCAAAATTGAGCTTAATTTATACCTCCTATGGGTTTTTTTATGTCTTTCTAAGAACATAGGCAACTTTAAATAGACACGAGCAAAGTTTTGAGACGTGTTGTTAAAGCCTCTATATAATATGTAGTGGAGGGAATTTTCATACACCTGACTTCTACGTCTTGTTAATGTAGTTGTTTTCAACCTGATCACTTTTCAAGGTGAAATTTTAAAGAAGACATCAGTATTTAAATTTACATCACCACCGTGCTCATGTATGCGGAAAGCCTCATTTAGCTCTGAAGCCCGTAGGAAATCATGGAGGGAAGGGCTGCATTTATTTTGGTAGGTTTGTCCCAGAGGAAGAAAACTGGGGCTGAGAGTCCATCTCCAAGCATTGCCCATCTCCTTGGTGCTGAGAAATAGCGCTCAGGTGAGCACTGAAAAGAGGCTGAAAAATGTGTGCCCATCTGGTCTTATTGACCCTGTTATTTCTAAGGAACCATACAACCTTCTGTCCCAGCTTTCCTTGCTGGAAATGGTCACTGCTGGTCTTTGTGAGAACCGGAGAGGTGAGAGGTTTATAGGTGAAATGATGTGTGGTAGAAGAAAGTGCTTGACTATGGGATCCCTCTAATTTCTCAGTGCAGTGATGCACTGAGCCTTTTTGTGGGCACGGGGAGGTGAGCGGCTCAGTGCCCTTTGTTGCTCTTTCTGAAGGCAGCATGAAGGATCTGTTGCATCTTCTGATTATTGAGCAAAGCGAACTGTTGGATGGGCTGGTGTTTAACAATTCATTGCTTGCATAATTTTGCTTACGGTGAGGGGTTTAGGTTGCCTTGTCTAAGGACAATGCTTACAGTTGACTGATGGTGCACTTGTGGTTCCCATTATTGGCTTTCTTCCTCCTGCTTGAGTAACTTCTGAACTCTTGGTCAACTGCAATCACATTTGTTAGAGAATTAAAAAAAAAAAAAAAAGCCAAAATAACCAAGTTCATACAAATCTGAATGCCAGTAGTTGGTTAGAGGGAAACTACTGCTTTCCCACAGGGACCTGCCAGGGCTGTTCACCCATACTGCTTTGCCGTCAGCTTTCTGCTTGCTTCCTAACTTTTGTTTTGCCACATTACATGTTTTTTCTTATTGGGGATTGCTGGGAGGATCGAAGAAGGCTCAGGGAAGTGTTCGTGCTGTTGTGGAACCAGCAGAGATTAGGGTTTGAAGAATGCAGATCCAAGACAGCTCGTTGCTATTTCAAAATAATGTTGTGAATTGAAATACCAGTGCTTGTATTTCTATTGCAATCCTTACAAATATACGATAAATATATAACATAATGACTAGGCCAGGTGTTTTCCAGATACATAATACCTGCTCTCCATCCCAGAGATCTTCAGCTGCCCAAAAACTCAAAAAACCACCAAGTCACCCAGCATGAGAAGGCTGTGAAGTTCCTGCTCTCCCTTGGTCTTCATTTTCATAGGTAGCAACCCCTGAGCTGCTGAACTCAGCTGTCTGCAGCTGCAAAGTTTAATTCCTGCAGAGGTCGGGCCCCTGGCATTACCTTGTGCATGTGAAATGAAAGCTCTGGTTATGGAAGACTTGAGACTTCCCCCTCTCTTCTGTCTGACGTGTTCGAGGTAGAGGAGCAATAAACGACCAATTCTTTTGGAGTTCTGGTCATCTAGGGAGGAGAGTCCATAAAGTGACCTTAAATCCACTTCCCTTAAGGGGCTAAACACTTTCAGTCCTTTTATGCACTCTTCTGTCCCAGTTCTTAAAATATTTCACTTTTCTTAGCTTGCACAATTGAATAAGTGGCTATCTTTTATTTCTTTTTTTAAATCCTAGTTCGCTTCCTTCTCAAGTTCGAGTTTCCTGTCTTTTATTTTTTATTTTGTTGGCTTTCTGCTCTTGTCCTCCCGTGGCTGCCTTGAATGCTTTTCCTGTCCTTCTGCATCGTGTGGGAAATGGCAGCAGGAAGAGAATCCATGCTCTTCTGGTGTCCCTCCTGTTATCTCTGTGAAACTCGAGCGCCGTAAGATTCAACCGTACATCTATGGAAGCTCTGACAACTTTTTCTTCTAGGGTTTCCTCGTAGCTTTAAAGAATAGAAGCATAATAATAAAGATACTGACTGCACTTTATAGATTAAAGTGGTCATTTTTCAGCCCTTTAGAAATGCTTTTGGAATAGCCGTGCTGCCAAAGTAGCTGGGCTTGCAATATTTTGTGAAAATACTCTATCAGTATGTGTGGGATTCCAAACTTTTGAGTCGATGCCTTCTCTGCATGAAATTGGTATCGGCTGCGTTATCTGGCATTTGGAAGGAGGTTTCTGAGTCATGCACCATGCTTGGTTGCCCTGCCAAATTACGAGGAGAAAAATCAGTATTTTCTTCATAGGGCTTTAAATTGCAATTGATGGGGAGACTGGGTTGCAAAAATGCTGTTTTTTTGTTTTTTTTGGTTTTGCTTTTTTTTTTCAGTGACATCTGTGGTGTGTATATATAGGAGGTTCCCAAGTTGGAAGCCAGAAGAGTATGTGGGAAGTGTGAAAGGGGGATGGGGAGGGGAACAAACAAGAAATTCAGACAAAAGGAAATTGGTGGTGCAACTTAATGCCTTCTCTTGGTGATATTGATAAATTTCTGCTGCTGTTCAAGCAGTCTGAATTATTCTCCTTCTGGTTCTGTTTCCTTTTGCTTTTCTTCTGTTGCCTGGAAGACATGAGTGGAATCCAGTAGGGCAAGAGGCTGCTTTTTCATTGTTTTGCTGCTCTCTTGCTAGCTATTGTCCTCTTGGCTCAGGCAATTCATGTCAGTCTTTGTGCGGCGAAAGAAAAATGTTTTTCCTTTTTTTTTTTTCTTTTTTTTTTTTCCTTTAAAGATTAAATTTCTGGACTCTAGATTGCTGTTATTTGAAAAGTAAGCAGTGTTAAATTCAGATTATCTCCCACCAACTAAAGCATTTTTCCTTGCGATGCCAGCTTCAGCACTCTATTCATTTGAACACACTTATTAAATTTGCGGGCCAATTTCAGGGTAAAGGAGCCTTGCAATCCAGTTTCATTTTTTAATGTACTTTGTTTAAACAAAGGAGCTAAGCAAGACAGTGCATTTTATGATTTTTATTTTTTTATTTTTTTTGTCAGGAGCGAAAAACAGATCGCTGACAATGTTGTGTGTTTTCAACAGTTGGAAACAGAGCCAATTTTGCTCTTAAGTAGGAGCAGAGCTGTTACACCCGGGAAAGTAATGCAGCGTTGAGCAGTGTCACTGAGATCTTGTCAGTTCGGGCTGACTTAGTTCTGTTCTTTACTACATCCCTGATTATTTATAAACGAAGATCATTTCTGAGGGCACTCTTGAAACAGCACTGAAACGTAGCTATGTTTGCTAGTTTGAAAAGACACTTACAGATGGACAGAATAGCACAAAAAATGAGACATTTAGATCTCTTGTAAGTAACTATTTTTTCAAGTAGTGTTTGCGTGTTACTCTTTCTTCATTGCCCTGATTTTTCCTGCACTAATAGATGGTGGTACAGAAAATGTATTGAAAGTGGAAGATACCATAACCATTGGTGATTATTGTTGCTTTTATTTTTTTCAGGCATCTATTAACAAGCTAAAAGTGACAGAACCATGGCTCAGTTTCCAACACCTTTTGGGGGTAAGTCATTTGTAATGTATCCCGAACTGTTCTTATATGCAAAAATTCTGCATAAATGTGTTGTTTTTCAAGTATGTTCTGTATGGAAGTGTTCATGGAAATGCATCTGCCTGAGGTGGTAGTTTATCAGTCTTGTGATGTTTTTGCAGACCCATGAGAGAACACGCATGAAATTTTGTGGAGACATCTCAAAAGAGCCAAGCAGAAAAGCTGCATGTTTCCCTTCTTGTGCATTGATCCATTGCAGTCCTTCTGTTTGTTCGTAACTGTGGGGCAGATCCAGGCCACTCAGTCACTGACAGTAGGGCAAAGCCTCCGTCTGCAGTTACCTAGCTTCATCTGCTTGTTTTAAGTTTCCTGACTCGGTTCTGTCTGCATTTCTCATATTTTATTTCAGAGGAAATTCTAAAGTGCCATTTAAATATTATAAATTCTTGCTGCCTAAGCACTATTTGTGGTTGAGAAGTGGAAGTGCTTTTTCTTTTAGGACTCCTGGACTTTTTCATTGCTGAAAAGTATGGCAGATGCTTTTGTATGCCATCACTTCTAATTTCTTTCCTGTATTGTACCATAATCTGTGTTTAGATAAGAAAAGTGCTGTGATTTTTAGCACTCCATTTATAACAGGGGAAGGTAATACATCTTGAACTTCATTTTTTTGGTGAAAAATCTAGAAAGGGCCCTGTTAGTGCAGTACAGACATTGCTTTTTGCTACCCATATGAAATACATTTTTGAGCAATCCGTGATCCAGTTTTTTTGCAACTTATCTGAAGGAAGATGACGAAGATAGATTTCAGTGCTGAAAACTAGTAAGTAGTGGAACTAGTTTGGTTCCCCTTGAACTGAATGATGCATCCGTGACATGCTTTTCTCTGAAAATATAGATATGATTCTAATTATGTCTATAAGTATTTGTGTATGAATTCGGATGCAAAAAATGCGTGTGTAGGTATACGTGTATACAAATATATGAATATATATGGAAGTCTAGTTTTTGGGATGTGATATAGCTAGGAACTCAATTTCTAACTAGTGTTAGTGTTTCAGTAAGAGACTTTAGCAAAAAAGCATGTTATTCAGAGTGTGTTGTTAGAGAGACACGGTTCTTGTTAAACACGATTGATTGGATGCAATCTCTGCCAGTCTGAAAAAATCCATGAAGTACAACAGAAGGAACACATCTTTGCAAGTGGTAGCTAGAACAAACATATAATTGGAAACTGTCATTCACTGCCTCGGTTATCTTGAAGTCCAGCCCTCTGGAACTGCATCTTGGAGCAAAACTAGCTACCAAAAGTTTTCATCAAATAAACTCACTGAACAGTGTCCCATAAGATACCCTTCTAGGTTGCGTGAAATGTTGGGAATAGCTTCATTTCATCTGATTTTCACAGTCTAAGAAAGTCGTGACGTGAATGGAATCTGCTGGTTTGGACTGGAGTTCAGGCTGCGCTTTGCATGCACCGTATTTAAACACATGCGTGCATTCTTAAGGGAACTCTCCTCTTCAAAGCATTCTCCTTTGCCATGTTTAGAAAGTTCTTATTGCTTTGCAGATGGATAGCATCTTTCTTTTTTCAACTTTATGTATTGCCATTTGATCTTGCATATGTTGTCCAGGATCCTGTTAGCTGTACGATGTGGCTTTAGGAAGGAATGAATTTACTATTTCTTCTCAAACAGCTTTTCCGATCTGGCTGCTCTACAAAGAGTGGGTTGAAATAAATATGTGGCTAATGTAGTTCCTGGAGTATCTTTAATTTCAAATGTGGTGTGAGGGAAGTCTGTTTTGATATTTGTACTTAAAACAAATCTACCAGGTAGCAGCAAATCTCCTCTTAGATGAAGGACAGCAGAAGTCTGAGATTGTTATGAGAGGAAATAAATGGGGTTTTAAAGAAAATTCCAGTTCTTATGGGGAAACGTATTCCCCTTTCAAGAATGCAACATTTTCTGCAGTCACTGATCAAGATGCAGATGAAATTTATGCAGTCTCCATCTTGGGAGAGCCCTTGCTCCAAATGAGTGATCTCTGGTATTCCTCTCCATGTAAATATAAATAATTTTCATTTTGTTTTTATTTAAATAATTTCTTTTTTAAAAATCTTCCAAAATCATCTTGGGGAATGGGAATGGAAACAGCACAGCACCCACCACGTGAACTGGGCTGACTCACTGATGTTCTAGAACACTGTTCATTTTAAGGATGACATTAACAAAATTGAATGAGCATAATAGGATTTTTTTAATTGTCGGGAAGAATGTGTGGTGTGCTCGACCTTCTGTTGATTTGTCCAGGGAAAAAAAAATGCCCATTTTATGTACGAGAGTGCACTGCTTCACTTTGGCAGATGAGATGATTGCTGAGCCTTCTGTAAGAAAAGATGGTTAGAGGGCTTGCTACTGTGTTCAAGAATAGCTTTCCTATGAGTCAATTTTGTGGTTTGATGACTGCTTCCTTCGCATCCAAATACATCGAAATGCCTCACATCTTCTGTGTTGGCATCCAGGATCTGAAGCCACGAATGATGTCTCGATGCTGGGAAGGATCCTACTTCATGCCCTCCCATAGATCTCATTGTTTCCTCCAATAACAAAAGATGGAAATGAGGCAGTATCAGAGATGCCATTCAGAGCTCTTGTGAAGAGGCTGCTACATTTGCTTGGCTTAACTTCATCTCTTTTGATGTTCATATCCTCCAAAGGAGATCTACTGTTTCAATACCAACCAAGTCTCCATCTGGAAGAGTAAATACTGACCATCATTTGTTCTGGTTTCAGGGAAACCAGAGAAGAAATAAATAAATTTTGTTTTAAAATAGTTAATAGAATACATTTTTGGTTACCTCGCGCCATAGGAGTTTTTAGTTATGAGTTGTATTTCCTTCTTTGGAGAAGGATAGGAAGAGATGTTCTTTGTTGTTTGTGGTGTTTTTTTTTAGGGGGAGTACTGGAGTCATCTATACCTCAAATTGAGAGAGAGAGCGCCAGAGAATCATTACAAAAGTCACAGTATTTTTCTTTCTCCCCACATTGTGTTCAAGAATTTTTCCCTCCAAGTGTAAATTACCACATCCAGCCTTATGATCTCATGCCAGAGTAGTCATGTTTCCTTTACAGGGGGATGGTCATCTGCCATTACTTGGCCTATACTAGTTGGCCTAGCCCGTATATTGGTCAAAAAGTCTTAACACTATCAACTTAATCAACACTCCTGCCAGGAGTTTGCAAGAAGATGGAGGTGATAGTTCCTTATGTAAACTATTGTGTTTTGGCACATTCATATTCAAAGGAGAATCCCATTTCATCCTCACTGGGAGCACAGCTATGAAACCTGTTTACAGTGCCTCTTGTTTCTTTGGACTAATCTTAAAATGTCCTTTGTTTGAGTGAGATATTATCAACCTGCCTTCTAGAAATACACAGATTATCTGAAACAGAGATGATAATTTTTTTTTTACCAAGAATATAGCTTTCCTTTCATTAACAAAACCAAACATTTAAAAGGATGTTTCTCTTCCCCTTGCCCATTTCATTTTCTCTCCAAAGTATGTTTTGCCACATGAAAGTAGTTTTTGAATGGAAGAAATTTAGGAGGCAGGAAATTCTCATGTTCTTCTTAACTGCTGAGTTTGATTCTGACTCAGCCTGCAAGCAGTTTGAAGTACTTGCTGTGGATATTTGTGGTCCCTATTACCTGAAATTGAATCTCTGAGAATTTAGTGCTGAGACAGAGCAAATGCTAGATTTCCTTGTTATTTTCACAGAACACTGATTCCATTAACTTGGATGCCTTCAGATCATGACATGCCTGTACAGTAGGAGTTACAGGAAGTCGCACCAGCACAATGTACTTCTCCAGATGTTGAAATCATGATGTGTTACTGGTCTACAAATTGTTGAGACATGCCTGCAATATAATGTTAGATAGTTCGTTGGAGGTCTCAGGTAGAAGATGAGATGTTGTGTTTGCTCTGAGTACAAATAATCTGAAGGATGAAAGTGAAATGTCTGGAAGAGGAGAGAGAGTGATCTGTTGCAAACATGAAAGTAGAACTAAAGAACACATTGTAGGATCATGGCATTGTAGAAGGGGTAGTAAATCTCAGCGTAAACTAAATATTTACCTCTGGATTAGGAGCGTGGTGTGAAGAATCTGGTCCTTGTAACGTACTCTTACTCAGACTTCTCAATCTTAAAAAGAATGATGAATGTACTTCACTGAACTGTGCTGTTGTTTCCAATGAAAATTGTTAATCATCTGGTTTCATCACACTTTTCATAGACGAGTAAGGGAAGTTCTCCTCTGGTGCTTAGGGACATGGTTTAGTGGGTGATACTGGTGGTGGGGGGATGATTGGACCAGATGATCTTGGAGGGCTTTTCCAACCTTAATGATTCTGTGATAATATTCTATAAGTACTGACTGGCTATTTTGGGATTCATGGAACTTGCAACTACAGACTTTGGAGGAATAGCTTCTATTTTTTTGTATGTTGTTTTCATAGGTCTGGTATGGTGTGATTTAATTATACTCAGAAATAGGGATTTTTTTTTTAGATGTTTCTTAATTTTGTTTTTCTGTCTCTCTTCAACTAGGCAACCTGGATATCTGGGCTATTACTGTGGAGGAGAGAGCTAAACATGATCAGCAGTTCCACAGTCTGAAACCAACATCTGGATTTATCACTGGTAATGAAATAGTTTTCACTTCTAATTTCATTTAAGTAAATCTTAACTAATGAGTCTAAATATGTACAGAGCTGCCTGGGAGACGATAGGGCATAAGAATTTAAAAAACGGAACAAGTCTTACTCACTTCCCATCCTATTTTTCATTTGCCTTACTACATCAACTCCACTTTTTCTGATATTTTACTGTAAACACTATACCTGGTTTATGCCACTTGCTTTTTTAAGTAAAATTAAAACGATTTATAGCTGGCTCTATACAGCAGCTGTATTGTGTAGAGGCAGCTGATAATTATGAACTGCAGAGTTACAATTCAGAATGTAGAATCACCCTGATGCTTAGTAATATTTATAGTGCTTTAATGCCCTCGGTGAATTAACTCCCTGTCCTGAGCCTGGCTGAGATAGCATTAACTTTCTTCGTGGCAGCCTGTGTGCTGCTGTGTTTTGCAGTGTTGATAACACCATTTTGGCTATTGCTGAACAGTGCGTGCACAGCTTCCAGGATTATCTCTTTCTCACACTGCTCCCTGCAGTGAGTAGGCTGGGGATGGTTAACAAGTTGGGAGGGGACACAGCTGACCCAAACTGACCAAAGGGATATTCTGTACAGGCATGCTCAACAGCAACTACAACAACTAGGGGAGGTGGATGCAATTTTTTTCAAGGTAGCCATTGCTCAGAGACTGGCTGGGCATTGGTTGCTTGAAGGAGGTGGTGAGTGATCACCTTTGCATCACTTGGTTGTTTTATTTTTTTTCCCCCTCCCTCTTTCAATTATTAAAACATCTTTATCTCAGTCAACAAGCTTCCTGACTTTTCACACTTCAGCTCTGCTTATTTTCTCCCCCCTCCTGCTGGGGAGAGAGAAATTAGTGAGTAGCTGGTTGGGTCCTGATTTCTGCTGGGATCAACCGGCTACACTAACATACTAATAGACTAAGAAGTCTGTTTAAATAAAGATCTATTAATTTAACTGAAGTCTGTTTCAGAAACTGATTGTTTAAATTAGTGCAATCATTGTGGGTGACCTTTTAAAGAAACTAAATGGCAAAAAATGATGTAATTTGTGGGAAGCAAGGCTGTGAATAAAGGCTGCATTGGTCCTGCTAAGTTTTCATTTAAAACCACCAATTTGCTTCAGTTTTAAAGTCAGTATGGTGTCTACTTTTGTTTTGTTTTGTTGCATTAAATTCCCTTAAGTGCTATCTAAAATCTTTTGCTCAATGGAAATAAATGCAAGGTAAAGCTATGTTCTACTTTCTTTCTGCTATCTGCCCATCAAGAAGATTTCCAGCGTATGAAATCAAAATTGGATTCTTAGCAGAGTCTCATCACACCCATACATAGCTCCAAGTATACAATTTGATTGTTCCTGCTCCTGTTACATGACAGACTTGACACAAAATCTGTTGTAGTTCAGTATGTAAGCTAGTACAGTTTTTATCGACTTTCTGTGATATTTAGTGATATTTCTAGTTTGTTTACAAATTTCCTTTGCAGGCCACATTATTTCCAAGTGCCTAATCCTTTTGTATTGTTTTTCTATCCTTATTTCTAATTGATATTTGGAAAATGATTGAAATGTACCATTATTTTCTTGCTTTATCTTGGGTTACACATCAGGGTAAAGACCACTTTATTTTGTTTGTGGCAGCTGACTGGCCCTGTACTACCAAAAATCTAGGATAGAGTTGGTATTGATATATAATTTCTTTGAAGGGAAAAATCATGTTCTCACCAAGCACATGATTCCTGTAAAGAGAGCCATTGACACAAATTAGGGACTGTAAACTGTTGAGTTTTCTGTTGTACTAAATGTCCAATTGACTTCATGTGGTGCTGACTGTTGCAGACCGAAAAAGTATGTCCTTGTTGGAAATACCTTGTAGGTTCTTGAGTGACAAACCATTAAATATCATGCTCTGTTATATATGTATAGCATGAAGTATTTATGGCTTTGCTGTTGCTTCTGATTTAGATATTTTGACTGATGATTTCCTCTTTACTCTTACGGGTATTGTTAGCATTTTCTGAAATGATGTCCTATTTATTTTACAGGTGATCAAGCTAGAAACTTTTTTTTTCAGTCTGGGTTACCTCAACCGGTGTTAGCACAGATATGGTGAGTATATGGAGGAAGGGGGAGATTGCAGTTATGTTGGAGCATGAAGCTCACTTGTACAGACTTGGGCAGTAATTGTATCTGATATTCTGGGGTTTAAAATCACCCGTTTTGTTCAGTGTGCTTTCAGAAGTCTACAAGGCAAATACGCTTTATAGTATTGTTTAGCTGAGTTTTTAAGTTACTTATCCAGTTACTGGAAGTAGCCATCCTTCTAGAAATGGCATTTGTGAAGTTGGTGATTTGGAACTCTCCTTGCAAACTACCAAATGCTTTCAGTTTTGTTAAAACGATACTAATGCAATCATTAAGCATATTAAGTAGTAGTCAAATTCTTTCTAATTAGACAGCCTGTGCAAGACTTGTAAAACTTATTACCACATTAAGACTGACAATAGACTGTTTTCATTGTAGTTGAAGATACAGTTTGAAAGCTTGAAATTTTTAGTATTTCTTGGTGAGTTTAGACATCTCACGGTCTTCATTGCTGTACATTACACATCACAGATACTTCTGCAGTCTCGCAGTTTTCTTCATGCAGGAGAACTTTTGCTGTAAATTACATGACCCTTCTGGATTTGGAAGTGCTAACTGTAGACTATTTATAATTTGCAGTAGTTATATTACTACTAAAACCTTCTAGAGTGGAAAAAGCAGCAGAGCAGTGCATAACTTTCAACAAATGTGCTAACTTTTTCTCTGATGTTAGCTGTTTGAAAGAGAGGGTCATTTATTGCACTTATAACAACTTTTTGTTGTAGAAAGGGCTTCAAAAGGCAGAGTCTTGCTCTGACTGGAGGAAGAAAGTTATTTCCTTGCAAGAAAAACAATCACTTTGGAAATATGCGTGCTTTAAAGAGGGACTGGATTTACATGGCTTTTAAATAAATAGCTTATTTTCTTTTCAAATGACTTTTGTCTTACAAATGTCCAATCTGGTCTTGTTACCTTATTTGCTAGAAGGCTCGGTGAAAGTTCAAATGTCCCTGTGGAACTTATCTTGCTTCTTAATTAAAGAGTGAAAGACCTTTTGTCTTACACAAGACATCCTTTCTCCAAAAATGTTCCATAGGCATTAGCTTTAAATAGGTGTTAACAAAACTAAACAGTTGTAAATAGTCTGAGTAAAAATCTCTTCCTCTCTGAATTATTCAGTTTTTCAGCCTCTTGAGAGGGAGAGAATCATTCCACTAGTTCTGTAGTTGTCATAGAGACAAGACCTGAACTTGCACATTTTTTTAAATAAAGCTGAACTAAAACTTCTTCGTGCTGCCTTTCTAAATCATACTAAAAATGTAGGTATCGCTCTCATTGTCTGTCTTCTTTTTTCAATCATCTCTGAATTAAGAGAAGTAATTATGTAAGTTAAAGTCTAGATCAGTTTTCTGAATTCTTAGTTGGAACTAGAATAACCAAGTAAGACAATATTTGCATAGTGGTTGTAAAAATAAGAGACCTCTTTAAAAAAAAAAAAAAAAAGAAGAAAAAGGAAAAAAATCAACCCTTTTTCCCACCACTTGAATGATTTAGCTCTTTTGATGAATCAGTGAATGTTTGTTTGTAACCTACCACATATTACTGCTGTCCCACAGAAACAATAGAAGTTAGGCTGTTTAGCAGCAAGAAGTCCTTTGCAGCCTCCAAAGGACGTCACAATATGCTCCAGACTGCAGTGAAAAATGTGAATCATTGTTTGCCTTAGCTCCCAGGGGTAAGATCTGTAAGCAGCACTTGCTTTGTGGATTTAGAAGTTAACAGCAATATTCTGAAAGTTGTCTATCCAAATTTCTATTAACATTGATGTAGGACTGTGAATATTTTAACAGAGGGAGAAAATCTGCCATAAAAAGCCCAGAATCTCTGTAAGAGATAAGACCTACATAAAATACTTTTTATCAGTATTTCTTAAACAGATGGAAATGCTTACTTTATATAGCATGTGATTGAGGAAGATAGATAGAGGAAGAGAAGGGAAGGTAAAACGCTTTCAGAAAGGAAAGTTATTATTCTGAGTTACAGCAACTTGTACAAGTCTTCAGATTAATTTTCTGATCCTAAACATACGGAAGCATGGGCATATTGTATGCTGCAATATCCTCAATGAGCTGACTTGCTTGAATCCAGTTTATTATATGAATGTCTGTAAGGTAAGAACCTAGCATTTGTTTCATAAAAGGCCACCTACAGCTGTGTGTAGACAAACGTACGCTAGTACAAAGTTCCATCTGGTTTGTTGGCCATGGAAGTTCTTGTGTAGAAAAATAACAACTGGGAAAGGAATTGCAGGGGTTTGGCCTAATGAGTGACAGTCCAGCTTTCTGAGCTTTCTGCAGAAAAACCAAGCACTCTTTGACTTTCCAAACATATTATCTCATGACTGAGAGAATTTTGTTTAAGTGAGCTGTATAAGAATTGTAGCTATCTTACATTTTAAGTAAACTTGAGTTGCTTTTTTTTTTTTTTAATCATGAAAAAGTAGTTTTTACTAGAACTTCAAGAAATACTAGGTAGCTGAGTATCAGTTAAATGTTTTCTGCTTCAAGGGCTGCTTTGATGGTATTCTGCAGTTGGTGTAATTGTTTTCTAAGATGAGACTCTGAAGAGTGTATCTTATTTAAGTTTCTGCTATTAGTCAAAGCTTCCTTAGTACTCATTTTCTTTAATACAGCAGCTCCATGCTTTTTAGCACTGAGAATTCCTGTGTCCCTTCTATGCTGCATTCATGTAAGAAAAAAGAGGTCTCCGTGTCCTCGGTGGAGCAAACTACTGGAATTATTGTGATATGTCATGGATACTACTGATCTACCCTTTTCAGGCTTTGTAGTATCCCAAGCTGTTTTTTTTTTTTTTTCTTTTCTTTTCAAAAGCCTCTAAGTAGACATTGAATTGAGACAGCAATGGCCTGAAAAATAACTGCTTTTAAGTAGGTAACAACCTGGCTGTCTTCTAAAGCTCTCCTGAGTGTTGGCCTCAAAAAGCGTCTTCTGTGTAGCCTCTCTTGAATTAAATGGGAACTAAAATAATCAATGCCAGCTGTTTTTGTGTGTTTAGAGTTATATGGTTTTGATTTTTTAGGACAGATTAAAGCTGTCAGGTGACACTACCTTTTCCTGACATGCACTTCCCTCATAAGCACACAAATTTCTTAAATTTCTATCAAAGTGTGGATCTGAAAGATAAAGGGGTGGCAATTCTGAGTTGTCAATCTTATACATGCATTAAGTGAATGATGGAAAAAAAAAGTAATTTCTCATTTTATGCCTGAATTTTAAGGCACAGTATGGGATTGTATAATCTAATATGGGAATGTAAAGCTAAATAATTCCAGGTTTTTCAACTGCAGGCTGTTTCCTTGCTTTAACACTGTTATTTTCACAGAGATGGGTGTTTCGTAGCCTAATTGTAAGCACATTTAAAGGACAAAAATGCTTGCATGCGTAGCTTCTTTCTTTCATAGCTGCAGAAACAATCAAGTTGTCTGCATTCTGCAGAAAAAAAAAGGAGAAGAAGGAAGCAGGAAAAGATCCGTAGGGGAAGAATTTTGTCACCACCTGTAATCTAGTGTTGTGATGAAGTCTGCTGTAGTTTTTCTCATTAGAAAACCCCTGTTGTAAACACAGGCGTGTTCTATGAAACATAATCAATATTTAGTCAGTGTTTAATTCATTTACTGCTCTCCACTAGTTTCCGGCCAGGCCTTAAATGAAGCAAATTTAAGGACATCACATTTTTCCAAATTTCATTAGAAGCAGAACAGTGTAATTAGTGTTTTCTGTCAGGCGCTCGCTGGATTTAAGGTGATGTTTATTCGAAGTCGCACTGTAATCTAACAGCATGACAACTAGGTTCGATAATTAGAAATGGAAATTTGTCCTATTTATTCACTGAAGGTTTTGTCAGGCCAAAGCTGATACTTGTTAAGAAGCTGTGAAAACATGTATAAATTCTGTAGCATGTATGTAAATTTTTTTTTTACTGAAATTCACGCTATTGAATTAAGTAACAAAGCCATTGGTGTAGAGTAAATGAGTTGAACAGAAGGTCAGACAGTAAATTAAAGCTTACCGATGATTAAGTGAAAAGAGTTCAGTGAAAGCAGTAAGGCTGGTGCATATCAAAGTTTCTTATTACTGGTCAGTTAATATTTTCTTATGGTGAATGCAAAGACTTACTGTGTTCTTGCAGTATGCTGCTAGTGTCTGGAGAATCGAGGCTGCCTACAGAACAACAAGGATTTACTCTTACTGCATTTTCATGGCCATGTATTTGACAGTCTCAGAGATTCTGCCTGTGATGGAAAGCCTTCGGTTTTATAAATCAAAGTAGCTGCATGTGTAGAAGCCACTTATATTGAACAAATGGCTTATAAATACATTTTGTGTGATTACTTTCCTTAAATGAAGAGGTGTAAGGAGCATTGCAGCTATTTATTTGAATTGCTGGTGCCAGTTGGTCACAGCGGAGCTGACTGACTTCCCTGTTGAGGAAGGTGTCTTCTTTGGGAGGACCACTGATGATTGAAGTCAAAAATTTGTTTCTCCAGATTATTTTCTCTGATTTTTTATGCACACCCACAGGTCTACTAGCGGTATAAGCCTGGATTTTACTCTCCTATTTCCACTGGGCATCTGACAGAAGAATGGCTAAGCAAGCATTGAATAAAACTTTCATTAAAAAAAAGAAACAAACAAACAAACAAAAAACACACACATTTTCCCTATTTAATAATTCTGCATTTTCTTTAGTTGCCTTTGGAAAGGTGTAGAGTGTGCTTGTAGCTAATTACCTTCTGGTTTCCATTGTTCTTAGCACTCTTATTTTTCTAGCAAAGCTCTCTTACCCTCAGTATTTGTTCACTGTATGTTGGTTTACTTTCTAATGCAAAACCCACACAGGGGACCACTTCAAAAATAGTTACCCATTTTCTGACATTCTAACACTCCACATAACTTTTGCCTCATCTTACCTAGCATGTTTCAGGTTTGTAAGACTTGCAGCCTTATTTCTCCCAAGTGGGACTTTTAGAAGCCTAACATCACTGTTTATAGGTGGTGACTAATGTGTGTTATATGAACTGTTTTGGTTCTAAAAAGTAAAAGGTGAGTGAAGAACCAAATTAAAATATCCTGAGTAATACCATTCCTTGTAAGCCTGAGAAAATTCTGAACAGCAAAAATTCTGCAACATATTGTGAGACATTTTTTTGCTGGCTGTTGTAAGAATGGCAATTCTGTCTCTTTTTGTGTCATAGTTAAACTATGAATTCCTTCAAAGTGAGTTAGGGCTCATCACAGGAACTTTAAGTTGAAGTAAACATTTCTGATATAGAGAAAATGTCAGAGAGATGCAAATGTCTTTTTTGGGTTAATCCGCTTTTCATTTTATAGGAGGAACTATATACATGCAGTCTGTATAGAAGCTTTTGTATAGTGTCTTGTGACATATATGCTGGAAACCAATAAAGTCATAGTACTTTTATGTTCAGAGAAAGCTGTTGCACTTAAGAATTATCAGAATGTGGATAACCTCAGTAACAAAACGTGAGAAGCCTGCTTTGCATTTTGCCTATTCTCCAGAAGTAACTATACCTTGCATTTCAAAATACACATTTTTTATTAACAATTACTGTCATCTAACCTTACCGCTCAGAGTAGAGAAGCTTCACTAGGGTTCTCCCACTTGTCTCTGCAAGCTGCAGGACAACTAAAATATTACATTTCCATTTTAACTTAGCCTGCCATTGTATCAGGAGGTACCATTATTTTGCTTGCTCTTCATGGCAGAGTGATCAGAGGCTGAGACTCTGGAGGGGCGGTGCTTTGCAAGGAAGAAATACTCATTCCAAAGTTGTACTTCTCTTGGTCCAGGTTTGCTGTGCTGGTCTTCTCTCTTCCTTTTGCTGGTTGGACTACCATAATCGCAGTCTGGCTGCTGCAGTAGGATCTTCTTAACCCATTATTTGTAAAGCGAACAACAGACTAAGTGATACGACTGAAACTTGAATCCAAATCGCATTATGCTGTCTGGGTCCCAGAATCAGTTTTGACTACAAATTCAGGTTTTCAAAGACTAAATGAGATTAAAGCCAAGTCTAAAGTTACTGAAAAACAGACAGCTTTTATGTGTAAATCAAACTTCTCTGTGATACAGAACTTCGGGAAACAGCAGCTACACATTTGCACAGCCAAAACTTGTTCTCCAATGGAATATATGTAGTAATTCAAAATCTTTGAGGGAGTGGTGCAAACTTTTCTTTCTAACTGTAAGCCCCAGAGTCTACAGTTCGCTCATAAGACTTCCTTCTTTAAATACTGCTGCCAGATTCTCAGTTATTTTGTCTTACTCCACCAATGTCACAAGGTTGGCTACACTACTGAAAATGGCTTAAAAGTATTAGGAAGGGTTGGAGTGCCTCCAGTTTTGGGGAAATGCTACTGGCAGCTTAAACCAGGGGAAACTCTTAAGATACATGGTTCATCTGTAGTTAATCTGCTCAACTTCTTTGTTGAGTTTTCCCTTTTTTTTTTTTTTGGGGGGGGGGGGGAGCTGGCTAGGCTGGGAGGGTTTTGAGGTTTTGAATGCTTTACCACTGTATTTACCAAACTATCTACTTCTTTAAGTATTAATTATAAGTAACTGTCCATTTATTGTACTACTTTCTTGATAACTTTTGGCATACGTTGATGAAAGCTTTTGTTGATGGACATTTGATCCAGAAATAAAGCTCTTTTTTAAAATTAGACTGCCCAGGTCCTTTGTGTTGTTCTGTCCATGACATGTAATGTATACACGTACTTAAAAATGTATCGTATTAAAATACTGAAATGTGTACTTAATTCTTCAAATAAATGCAAAGAAATAAGCATAATGTGAAAAACTCAAATTATAACTGATTACATTATTAATGTGCATTTACTGTATATTTTGGCTTGCAACTGCAGGAACCAACATTCTTCTTCCTGCTCCTCCCCCTTTCTAGCCCTCCACCCCCAACCCACTCCCATTCCCTGCAGAGCATGGTTTTCTTAACCATCGAATGAAGAAACAAAAAAAAAAAGACAATTTAAGTCAGACTACTTGAAATGAAAGCCTATTCAAGATCTAGGCTCCGTGTTTTATCTTGAGTATTATTGTTTAACTGAAAACCCAATTGCACACTTGCAGATATAATGGTGCTTAGTAAATTGCACAAATTTAAAGAACATTTTGTTTTAAGTGAAGATAAAGTCCTAATTTGCAGACTAAGTCATATGATTCCCCGTGGTGCTATTTGTAGTGCCACATAGATTTATTTGTGTGATTTTTGCAAAGTTTTAGTGCAACTACATTAATCCTTTCTCTCAGGTTGCTTCGCTGTAATTCCTCTAAGAGTTGAAAAGTGACTTTAAAAATATTTATTAGTCACTCCAAGAAAGAAATCGAGAAACTTTTGGTTTAAACGGTGTCTTGTTTAATGACTGCTTTTAGCACGGTATAATTATTTTGGAGTGGAAATTAATTAGTCTTGAATATTACACGCCTGTGTGTGCGTGCACGCTTCTAGGTCAGTTCCTGAAGTTCATAATTAAAGAATCTAACTGTGAAAATTGTGTATTTTTGTAGGGCTCTAGCTGACATGAACAATGATGGGAGGATGGATCAGCTGGAGTTCTCAATAGCTATGAAACTTATCAAATTAAAACTACAAGGTTATCAACTCCCATCTGCACTGCCTCCTGTCATGAAACAGCCACCTATTGCTCTGCCTAGTGCACCAGGGTTTGGTAAGCTCTTCATTGTCCTCCTGGTTAGCTTGTGTTATAGAACCTAAGTGTAATTTGATTTTCATTTTATGGCTTCTGAAACAATGGTACTTGGACCCAAAACCAAATGCTTTCACTTCCATGAATATGCTAAAAGAAAAATGTCAATGAGTTTTGCTTTTAGCACCCAACCATACTCCATAAAGTCACCTGGGGTCGTGTTTGCTTCAAGCCTTATACTGCTCCCCATATGCTCTGAATAGAAGTGTTTGTGAGAAAAAAAAAAAAGATAGACCACCTAGCAGGGCTAGTACATTACAAAGTAATGGAGTTTTTATTTAAACTATTTTTATTAATCTGTATTTTTAATTAAGGGATCTCCAGCTTTGGCAATACGTTTTTCTTGATTTTGTACAAATCAGGGTGGAATGCACCCCTCTGCTTTCAGTTTGATAACTAAAAGCAGAACACCTCACCGAAATGGCCTAGAACAACCGCTGATTCACTTCGTGCGGTTAGTACTGCCGAGTTCACCATCATTTCAAGGAAAGTAAAATAGGATAGAGGGAGAAGCCAACAGGGGTTTATGAAGGGTATTCATAAAGATTGAATACCCTCAGAGAGGGTATTCAAACATTCAGGCTGCCCGGGGAAGTGGTGGAGTCTTCACCCCTGAAGGTTTAAGGGATGTGTGGACGACGTGGCACTAAGGGACATGGTTTAGTGATGGGACTCACTAGCTCAGGTTCATGATTGTACTTGATGATCTTGAAGCTCTTTTCCAACCTAGGTGATTCTATGATTCTATGTTGAAAATATCTAACTGAAGCTGAACCTCATGTTTGACACCTTGATATTCTGCTGTAGTGAGAGGTCCTTTACCTTTCTGGTTTAGTCATTGCTGTAACTGGGGTTGGTTGGTGCCTGAGAATTACTGCCGTCATTATGAAAAGGGAACAATGCACTTGATAAACAGCATACGGTCCTGTTGTTTGATTACTTGTTGCTTACGCAAATTTTACAAATTTTTATTTCTCATTGTAAGAAATCAGTGAAGTTGAACAAAACAAATACTGCTCCAAGTGAGAAAAGGCATTATAAAGTCACTCCCCAAAAAACAGCAATTTTCCATGATTTTCTTTTTTGTTATTCACTGTAAACTTGACCTCAGCTGCTTGCACACAGCCTCATTCTTCCCATTGGCATAACTGGACCTCCTTATGCTCCCTGTTATCCATGCAACTGTGCTTACACCTAAAATACCTCATTACTGTGCTTTATCCTATTAGCTTTGCACTGTTTCATCTTGACAATAGTCTGCAAGCAGTTATCCTGAAGCTCGTTCCTTTCAGCTGTGGCTACATGTAGACTTCGGGTTCATTACTCACTGGAAGTTGACAGTACTGCTCTTCATTTAGTTCAAGGGAAACAATTCTTTTCTTCAGCAAATGCTAATTGACTTTTTTTTTTTTTGTCAGTGTTGCATCCAGTGTGATCTTATATGCATACATTATAAAATGGTATTTTGTTCCCTCGACATTGTTTTATGCTGCCCTGCCATGGTAATGGTGCAGCGGACTGTAAGAGCTCTTTAGAGGGGTGTGTAGAAGTTTCCATTTCGATTTGTTCTTTAATTCTGCATTTACTGCTGGCTTGCGGGCTGCCGGTAAAGCGTTACATCACGTTAGGAGTCTCTAAGTCAGAAAAAATGTCTCCTTTTCTCCCCCGTAGGTATTGGGGGCATTGCCAGCATGCCATCTCTTACAACTGTTGCCCCAGTGCCAATGGCATCAATTCCAGTAGTAGGAATGTCTCCGCCGTTAGTATCTTCTGTTCCCGCAGCAGCAGTGCCTCCCCTGGCTAATGGAGCTCCTGCTGTTATACAGCCTCTGCCTGCTTTTGCTCATCCTGGTATGCTACCTACTGAAACTCTTTACTCTCTTGCTATTAACAAGTTAATTTGCATTTTCTTTGGATCCGGAGAAAAATAGATGTGGAATCAGCTACTCTATCTTATTTTAAAGAATGGTTTTGGATTAGGACTGTACTTTGGTTTAGCCCAATGTAATTGGTTAGCAAACTTGTTAAAAGAATGGACATGCTATGCTGTAACAGTCAGTCATGTTGAGCAACAGTGTGATAAATCAAGCTTGCCTGTAAACTGTAGACTAGAAATTGGTCTGTTGCTACCTATTTATAACTATTGAGTTACTGCTATTTGTTGGTATTACTTTAAAATACTTAATACTTCTTAAAGGGATACTATCAAAAGAACCATAATATATTTTTTTTGACATTAAGAGCTAAATGAATGTAATTGAAATTATACAATTTAAAATTCTAGTACTAAAAAATACATGCATTTTCTTATTTACAGCCACGTTGCCAAAGAGTTCTTCCTTTAGTAGATCTGGTCCTGGATCGCAGCTAAACACAAAACTGCAAAAGGCACAATCATTTGATGTGGCCAGGTAAGTTGCTGTACAATGAATATATGTTTGTATCTGGTTCCTCCTTGTTAGCAAAACAACTTCTCAAACAAAATTATTCTCTGAAATAGTATTTACTTGCAGAAATCAATTCCTGCTGAGATACTACTTCAGGATTTCATAGGATACTGTGGTTTTACAAGGAATGGCGATGAGTAATGAACAATTGAAATGTAATAAGCTCTTACAGTATGTGTTGATATAGTTTGCAGGCTCTTGAAAACTAAATTTTTAGAAAAGCATATGATTCCATAAACATAATTTGCATTGTATACTAATGCACAGGCACTCTCCTGTTAGTGTGGAAACATAAGTAAAATTAGCAACTGTAGGGTTATTTTTAAATTTTTAAAATAAATATATTTAATATATTAAATTTTCCACTGTCTGCTCAGTGGACCAGGGAAAATGGATTTGGTGGGTTCAGTTCAATTTTTTCACTGTTTGTTTGGTATGCTGTCAGAAATGCTTGTATATATTTTTTTTTCCCTGAAAAAAAAAATACAAAGTTTGCGTGTGCCTAAAGACAGAAAAACTACACTTACTGGTTTTCAGTATGAAGACTCGTCAGACTAGCAGTTAAAGACAGGGTAAAATAAGATATTACTTCCACTGACTATGCATTTCCTATCATATGTTTAGGTAAAAGCTTATAGCTCCTCTAAACCATTTAGGTTACTTAATTTCTCTGCTAGTAAAGGAAAAAACAGCAACAATCTTAGGCCCATCATTCATCTTTTCCAAAAAAACAGCTTCTAAGACATAACAAATGTTTTGAAATATGAAGTCAAAATTGTTGTGGTTCCGGGAATAGAAGGGAATATTTGGAAAAGAAACATTTCTGGATAAAACTTAATCTCTGTGCAGCACTTCATCCTGTTGTACATACCACTTCATGCTATTGAATGTAATACCCCTCATCTCTATCCCTTTTTTAATTCTAGTGTGCCTCCTGTGGCAGAGTGGGCTGTACCTCAGTCATCAAGACTGAAATACAGACAGCTGTTCAATAGCCATGATAAAACAATGAGTGGACACTTAACAGGTATTGAAACAGTTATTGTTGTTTCCTTTTTTGACTGCAAAAGGTCAATTACAATAACATTCTAAATGCTGTTTAGATGGTAAGAAACTCTTATCTCTCCAGGTTGTCATTGACAATATTTTTCTGTTCAAATTTCCCAATTCCTTAATGATCTCTGATATTTAGTATCCTTTTCTTACTTTCCCGTCCTGTATTGGGAAATGATTCTTGGAAAGGGTACAATGTCTTTTGTGAAATCTTCTGTAGCCATTTGTTATGTTCGACTCATCCACTGATGGGTATTCCCATCCAGTTTCAGAAGTAGAATAGAACAGTACTCTGGCTTAGTTCTGAGAGCATCTTTGCTTTTCATAGCTTTTTTTTTTTTTTTTTTTTTTTTTTTTTTTTCTTTTTGAGGGTTGTGGAGGACAAAAGGGTTATCTATTTTTTAGTGTTTTCTTCTTGAGGGGCCTAGGGATAGCAGTGTGTATAGCCCATTCACAATGATAACATCTCTTTGGTGGTACCTGTTTAAAAACAATTTCTGCTTGTGCAATAACTACATGGCAATACAAGGAAAGGAGAAACATGCTTATATGCTTATTAACCCTTGTTTTAATTTGTTAGGTCCACAAGCAAGAACTATTCTTATGCAGTCAAGTTTACCCCAGGCTCAGCTGGCTACAATATGGTAAAGATAAATCTAATGATTTCTACCCAACTGGAAACTATACTTAAACCTCTATAGTGTATCTTGTTTTTTTCTCCTCTTTTCAATCTCTCTCCAGTGATAAATCATTATATTTTGCTCTTTTGAATGTTTAACTTTATAAACCAAAGCCTGCACTCTGCACTGCCATGCCTTTATTAATATTACTCCACAAAACCAAAAAAGAATGTATTTTACGTTATACCCATAGGTGTTTTATATGTTGGGTTTCAATTTTGGGGGTTTCAGGCAGATCAAATGTTCAGCATTCTGCCTTCTACATCCTCAATCATATGTGATACAGCACTAGTGAAAGTTACACATTTGCACAGGTAGTACAAAAGGAAACTTAATCCAGAACCGTACTTTCTTTGGGGCCCGTCTGCCTTTTACATGAATTTCTAAGGCTTATTTTCAAGGATCTGGAGTTATGCACTGCAATTCATGAATTTTAGCAGAATGTGTCTTGGCTTTTCTTTTTCTTTCAAGTTCTTGTTTGCCAACGTTTATTGTGCTCTTATGATCACACGGATTAGTCTCTCTTTTCTCTTATACTTTTGAAGGTCATATATTCCTATGTACTGTGTAATGTTTCTATTTCATTACTTGGTAGTACTTAGTTACCATGATTTATGGTTATCTTTGGTGACTTCTCAATGGCTTTCACACTGCTTCTGTACATTTTTAATTTCCAGTTTCTCTCTGCAAATTATTTCTAATTAACCTCTATAATTTAAAAGTCTTCCCTCAAACACCACTGTCAACAAAATAACCTGTCTGACTTCTGTTGTGTGAGGATGTCAACGATGTTGTCACTGTAGTGTGATGGTTACGTTGCACTTACTCTCTTTGCTAAGCACTGATGGTTTTGTTATATGAGAAAACAAACACTCTCTCCTCTGTTTCCTAACAAAGCTACTATAAGGAATAAATAGCAACCCGATCATCCAGCAGATGATTAGTCAGAAAATTCTCTGCTTGTTGCCAGTGCTTAAGTAGGTTGTGTGGGCAGGGGAATGACGTCAGCGTGCTCCAGGATCTAAACAAAGCTGTTGTAATTTTTGACATTCAGAACTGCCGGGTCTATTGAGATAAGGAATAGACTTTATGCCTTTGTTGGCCTAGGTATTGTTCCCTTTCCTGATTTTTATTCTCTGGCAGTGGTACCACTGGGGCAAGGCTTTTCAGTCTGTATTGGCTGTAGACTCACCTTGTTTTAAAGGTGGATTCACTCATTCATAGGCACACAAGATAAAGTACCGATGTTCAGCATGTCAGCTATTTTGTAACAGCTGTTTCGGGGACAAAGATGCGGACCCATACTGTTAGAGTAGCTGAATTATATCCTTGCATGCTCCATTTTCATTCTACCAGCTTGTTCCTGTGCCTCAGCTTGTTTCTGTGCCCCAGCCTGAGCAGCTCAGTAACACAGGCGTGGACCAAATGGGGCTGTCGTAGTCTTCTAAATTTAAATCCCATAAACAAAGTCCTGTACCTTGAGAAATCAAAAGCATAGATCAATTGCTCACCTTAGATTTTCACAGTATCATGAGACATTTTCCTTTAGGATTAGAGTCAGAAGCATGCTGGAGAAAAAAAGCTGATATTTAGGCTGTTAAATTTTGTACAAAAAGCATCTTAATATGAAGGTGTTTTTGGACATTTCATGAACCTGTTGGAGCACTGGTTTTAGGCCATCCTGAGGCCTGACTGCATCTTTTTTTTTTCCTGTATGCATGCCAATAAAGTGTTTTTGTGCTCGTCTAGGCTAAAACATTAATGATTTTGTTTTTAATGCAAATGTGTGCCCAGGAATGCAAGAAGTAGACCAAATCAAAAACTTCTACACTTTCTTGAACAATATTGTGTAGTGGATGTTCACAAGGTGTTCAAGAAAACTCCATTGATTAACATTATTTACATAGCTTATAGTACAGGCAGCACTCAAAAGCAAGAGAAGTAGAAACCATGGCTGTAACAATAGTTTCAAGGAAGACATGCAAGAGAAATATGGGAAATAGTGATGCATTTGGTTTTTGCCTTTTATTTGTTTTAAAGAAGTAAAGAAGTGTGAAAAACTAATCGAAAAATGAATCAATTTGGAATTGAATATACCAAAATTGTGCTTTTTAATGGTGATTTTTAATCTTTAAGAATGTACTTATTTTTTGTATCTTTCCTTTAAAAAGGAATCTTTCAGATATTGATCAAGATGGAAAACTTACAGCTGAAGAGTTTATTCTGGCTATGCACTTAATTGATGTAGCTATGTCTGGTCAGCCACTGCCACCTGTACTGCCTCCAGAGTATATTCCACCTTCATTTAGGTAACTGGTTATAATTCTGGAATCTCACTCCTAAATTTTTGTTTCATTTGGGAAAGCTGTCCTGTGAGTGTAAAGGGCAAGAGACTGAAAAGTAACCCTCCTTGATTTTGTGCTGCGTAAAGGGCATTTTTTGGTTTTATTAGAAGAGTTGGATGCTGAAAATAGCTCTGTCACAAAAAGTCCTTGTAAGAATACAGTTTTTGTCAATGTTTTATGCTAACAGACCTTCCAAAACTTACTCAGTCTGGCTACTTGAATTTAAAGAGTTGTAGTTCAGGCTTATATTTCTGTACAGCAAATAAGATGTATTAGAATTCAAAACATGCCCTGCATTTACACTGTGGCAAATTCTGATGTTTTTTTAAACAGTTGTATCTGTGAATAGTAGTGCTGAGTCAGTACTTCCATTTCTCTATTTCACTTTTTCATGGAGAAATGGGTAGGAAGACAGTTACAGCGATGAGAAAAATGTTTGCATATAGTCATAGCTTCATGTTCTTTATACTCTTGAAGATTACAATTTTTTGTTTCTTCTGTGTGGTGTCTTGTTTTCAGCTTGACTATAGTGAGCTCTTTCTCTGTCTTTGCAACTTTTGTTGTAGTTTAATTCCCCGTTTCCCCAGCTTCAGACTAGTCACAAGTAAGAGATCTTGGTGATAGAGTTGAACACATCTGTAAGCTGCATGATGCTGTGAACTTTGAACTAGGGTGCTTAGGTCACCAGTGTGTGCTGTTGGGACTCTGGGGGGTGCTGTTATTTTAACGGCAACTGCAGATTAAAATGCTCTGGACAACGCTGAGGGAGCATTAAATATCACTAAACATTACATCATTGCATTTAATTTATGATTTCATCATTAAATCATAAATTTGGCAGGCGTAGGTTCTTTTAAGCAACTTGGAATTGTCCTTTTATTGACAGAAGAGTACGTTCTGGTAGTGGCATATCTGCTGTAAGTTCAGTATCTGTAGACCAAAGGTTACCAGAAGAACCAGCATTAGAAGAAGAACAGCAGCAACTGGAAAAGAAATTACCAGGTGAGCAAGCATAAATAGTGATGTACTGTGTGCTGTTATCGGAGAGATCATCAGGTTATATTCTGGGAAGTTCTAATGACATGTTAAAAAATATTTTCTTTCCAAATCAGGTTTTGACATGACAGAGGTATAACCAAGACAATGCTTGGTCCAGCTAATTCCTGACTGTTGTATGGTCCTTTGTCACTGACAATGGACATATGAACAGCTTTCAGGCTGCTTATGTTATGCACCCTCCATAGAGGCAGCACTTTGCAGCCCTATTACAGGACTATGGTGAAAACTTTTAGTACCTCCATCTTCTGACTTTGGTGTGGTATAGTTTGTCTTACAGAGGCCTGTTTCACTGCAGTCTGCATAGCAATATGCCAGTTTTATACAAGCTTTAGCAGCTCTGTTTAAAAAATTAAAATAAAAGAGAGAAGTATAGTGTCCTGGATGCTAAATGGCAAGAAACTTCTTTACACTTCTGACCACCCCCTCACACTTCTTTCTTTTATTCTGTTCTGTTCTGTTCTATTCTATTCTATATACAGTGGAAGATGTAGCAATATGATAAATGTATACAGTGTGATAATAATGGTTTTCTGTTTTGTTCTAAACTCTTTTTTTTCTGGTTAATTTTATTGATTCCTAACGCTGTTTTGCCTCTTTGATCACAGCTTAGATCTTAGCTGATGTTTTCAGAAGACTGTCCACTGTAATGCCAACATCCTTACACAATATTAACTGCTTTTAGAGTCCATGACCATGTGTGTTTAGTTAGGATTATTTTCATTCCCCAAATGTGCTGCTCTGTATTCATTAATATTTGAATTTCCTCTGCTTCCTCATTGCCAGATCACTCAGTTTTGTGAGATTCTTCTAAAGCTCTTCACAGTCAGGTTTTTATTTTAATACCTTGAATATCTGGCCTCATCTCCAGAAGCTGTCTTGTTACTTTTCAATCTCTTCCAGACCATTGTTGCACACTGAACAGCACAATTGCTAGTAGAGATCTTTGAAGGAGGCTACCAAGAATCTTTCTGTCATTGTGAAAGTTGGTAATTTATTTCACCCCTTAATTCCAATCTTTTAACTGCTTGTTAATTCCCAAGGACCTTCTGTCTCTTTCCAGCCCTTGTCTTTGGTTTGTATTTTATAACTAACTGCTGCTAGCAGTCTGCTGAGTAATTCCTGGCTGTAGAAGCATGAAGTGAGATAGCAGGGACTGCTGAAGCAGACCTTAGTGAGGTCTCACAGTGATGTGTTTGGTCACAGGTGAGATATGACTCTCTTACACATTTTGAGGTGTAAGTCTTGTGCCCTTGGAATTACAGGATTTTGGGGTACAGTTTGTAATGCCAGGAAGGTCAACCACTGCGCTTGGCTTATTTTCTTTATTAGGCTTCAAAAACACACAGGCATCCTTTTATTGACCTCATCTGCTTTTTCTTTCTTATTGATAACTTTCTTATTGATAAAATTGGGTGGGGACAGATCTCAGCCCTCTACTATATTTGAGAGGTAGCTCTTTCCTGCATTGGCTCTTCCACATGGTGTCACATGTAGTCATGCATACTAACTCTGTGTATTGGAGCCTCTGCTACTTTGACCAGCATGGGATTAGACTGACTGGATTATAGCTTTCAAGATCATCACACTGTCTTTTCTTAGTGACTGGTGTTGCATTTGTCCTCTTCTAGATGCACTGAGGCTGATTAAAGGATGGATTGCACAGCCGAGCTAGTATCACAGGATCACAAAATAGTTGAGGTGGGAAGTGACCTCTGTAGGTCATCTGGTCCAACCCCCTGCTCAGATGGGGCCACCTCTTGTAGTTCATGAATTTTGTATATGAACTATGGATTAGTATTGTCTGGGTTTGGCAACCTGTTACTCTTTATTTTCTTGGCTTTATTTTTGTTCTAAAGCTATTTGTTTCCAGTTTCAGAATAACTGGACTGTATAAACCTTTTATTGTATTTGATGTGTAGATTTTTCACTATAAAGACCACTCATATAGTGAATGACTTCTGGATCCTTCATTGGTTTTGCTAAATCTGACTTTTTTTTTTTTTTTTTTCTCTTGAGGGAGGCAATTGAAAGAGTTTTTATTGCTGTTTTTTATGAACCTTCAGAAGCTATCCCGTAAACATAGTAACACAAGCCAATAGCTACTCATTTTATTTAATTTGCTAGAAGTTGGTCTCATCTGTTTTCTTACTTTGTTACCTCTAGTAGCTACCTTGATTTTGTTGAATAATCATACTTTCTGTTGAGCTTGGTTTTTCATCTTGGTGGTATATGCTTTCTTTGAGCCTTTAAGACAATGCTTAAGCAATGCTGATGCTGCTGGCAAGCTTTTTGTCCTTTTCTTTTTATCGACTTCCTTGACATAAATATAAATATATGTTTTTTCCTTTTTGCTTGGTGTCCTAAGTTGATGGGGGCTATTCTCTATCTTATCAGTATTTGTTTTAATACTGTTTGAATCTAGTGGCTAATTTTAAACATCGAAGTGATTAAATTTCTTCTTCTGTGAAAATTTGTGATTGGCAGTAAGAAAGACTTACTGACTTAAGAAAAGATAAAAATTCAGCTGTTTGGGCAGATGTCAGCCCAACATGTCAAACACTTGGTGCATGCACACTTTGAAGTGAACATATACTGTCTCTTGATTTGACTTGCATGCCAAAAAGGTCCATGTTGGGCATGATCGAAGAGAAATACAGAATATGAGGTATGGGAATGGGACATAGAGGGTAGGAAAAGAAACTGAAGGTGATTTGGAGGGAATAATTTGGAGGAACTGTGTGAGAGAGGTCTGGAGCGTTGAATAGGGATAATGCCTGATATTGCAGAAGAATGTCAGGGAACCTGTGCTGGAACTGAGGGTGTTGTTTTAGGACAACAAAAGATTAGGGTGTGAATCTGCAGGAATCTAGTCTTTCTGAGTTCTCGTCAAGAACTTAAGTAAGCTGTTTCTTTTCCTGACAGTAATGAGTGATCTTATGAGAATATCAAGTTTAAATAAGTTCTGGTCATTTGCATAATGGCTTTTTGATAATATCTTCAGCTGAACTCTTTTCCTTACTTGCTGTAATCAAAGTGATGGTTCTTGTGCTGTTACTATTATGAAATGTGTGGAGGAACTCCAGCACACTCGGGAATGTGAACTGAAATTCACACCTTAGTTTCCCTAGGATGTGGGCTTAAGGAAAACTACAATATAAATGCTAATGATAAAACCCAAATTACCTGTAGAGCTTTACTATCAGTGTATCAGAGAGCTCTTTCTAGTTCTGTTGGAAGAGTGTATCACTTTGATTCAACATAAATGGAAGGTTTTTTTAAATTACTAGCTAAGTTTAATTCTCCTTTGCCCCATGTTTCTACACACTAAAGTTACGTTTGAAGATAAAAAACGCGAGAACTTTGAACGTGGCAATCTAGAACTTGAAAAACGGAGGCAGGCTCTCCTGGAACAGCAACGCAAAGAACAAGAGCGTCTAGCACAGCTGGAACGGGCAGAGCAGGAAAGGAAAGAACGTGAGCGGCAGGAGCAAGAACGGAAAAGACAACTGGAGCTAGAGAAACAGTTGGAAAAACAGCGGGAATTGGAACGGCAGAGAGAAGAGGAAAGGAGGAAAGAAATAGAAAGAAGAGAGGTAACCAATTGGATAAAAGGAAGGTGGCTAAGTCATTGAAATCTGTGTTTGTTTAGAACAGAATGGAATGTGTATACTAAATATTTTGTCATCTTTATATTTAGTAAGTATATGTTAAAGCAATGCACTTAAGTTTTTGTTTTTTTGAAGGTGAGGAAATAGTTGTCAATCTCTTTCTTAATTTTTCAAGTGAAAAACTGGAGAATGCCAGATGTTGGAGAGAGATTTGATGCTAGTTTGGAGGATTCTTGAAGTCTTAATGTGAAACAACATATTAAATCAGAAAATTGGATCTTGGGAAACTTACTGAAATGGAATGGTATTCTGTTTAGTTGCATATCCACTATACAGTGAAGCAATAGTACTTTCAAGTGAGCATTTAAACAATTGAGCAATTTCTGTGCTTAAATTGAGAGGTGCATACTTATTCCACTGTTTAGCAGCATGTTTATATTAATGTTTTAATTATAACTTAGAATATGACTATCAGTGGTTAGAATAGTTTCTCAGAACAGATCTTTCATATCTTTGTTGTTGTTGTTTTCTTTTTTGGTTAAATGCTAAAGGCTGCAAAACGGGAACTTGAGAGGCAAAGGCAACTTGAGTGGGAACGTAATCGTCGGCAAGAACTACTAAATCAAAGAAACAAAGAACAAGAGGACATAGTTGTTCTAAAAGCAAAGAAGAAGACCTTAGAATTTGAGCTGGAAGCCCTAGTAAGTGATTGTATTGCAGATAAAACACACAAGTATGGTAATGCCTGTGATAAGGTCCTATTTGTTTTCTATAATTTCAACTTTTAATTGTGGAGTAAAAGTACTTTTTAGATCTTGATTTGTGTGACAAACCATTCTGGTAAAACAAAGAAATCTTTGTCTTTTTGTCTAAAGAATGATAAAAAAAATCAGTTGGAGGGAAAGCTTCAGGATATCAGATGTCGGCTGTCTACCCAAAGACAAGAAATTGAGAGTACAAATAAATCTAGAGAACTGAGAATTGCAGAAATTACCCATCTGCAACAGCAGCTACAGGTGAGGAAATGTTCTGTGTTTTTGTTCTTAGCTTTGTGCTCTGACGTCTTTAACTGCATCAATATCCTAAGCAAACTTGACACGAAATACATGTTGTTTCTTGTATGTGAGCAATTGCTGTAGATACTTTGTCCCTTAAAGTTTCTGTTCTTCAGTGATGTAAGAAGTGCTTCCTACACTTGAGGGTATAGCTGTGATTACCACTTCCTCCTCATGGAATCCTCTTGTGCAGAATAGTAAATAAATTGTTTAGCTGAAGATGGTTTTGGGGACAAGGAGAATCAAATTTTGTGACATTTTTATTGCATTAACTTCTGTTTCTGTGCTGAAAGAAATTACCTCTGTAAAGTGACTTGATGATCCTTTTATTTTTTTATTATAAGATAATGAACTTTCAAAACTGAAGTTACCAGTCAAACCAGTTAGTTCTTAGCCTAATCCTAGCATTCTTCTTTCCTGCTTCTCTATCTAAAATTCTCTGCCAAATTGAAGATGGGACTGATTTGATGTCTGCTTTGAGTGAAAAGTGTTCTGTGCACTTTGTAAGGGTTTCTAGATAAGCTGATAAAGGCATCTAGATGGATAAGGGATTTTTCTGTTTATTAGATATTTTATATTGCTTAAAGTTAATTGTTGACCAGTAATAGGGGCTCTCTGTGCTTCTGTACCATTTCAAAGAGGATCTTGCACTTATATTATAAGGTCTTAAAAGTAAAAACTGTCTGAAAACCCAATCCTACTGTTCCATTTCAACTTTCTAAATGTAATCAATAAGGTACATCCATTTGAACAAAAACAGCACTTGAAAAATTCATTTCTGTTTGTTTGTTTTAAGCATGCATATTTTTGGACTATTTTTCTTATTTCATAAAACATCTTTCATTTCTATTGAAGTTTTGTGTGCGCTGTTACAGCCGCCAAGAGAAAGATGTCTTTTTTGGCAGCAGCTTGATATGAAGAGTGGAATTTAGGGGTCATATTCTTGCACAGTGTTTTTGTCCACTTAATACAAACAAGGAATGCTACTACGAGAAGCTTGTGACATTAAGAACCGCAATAGTTAGCTTAAAATCACTCTTCTCTCTTTAATGAAATGCTCCTGATTGGTAAGAGAAAACGAAGTCAAACAGCATTCAATGAAGTGTAGACAGTTAAGTCACATTCACCAGTAGTGGCTCAGAGAGACAAAAAGCTGTCTGTGCTTAGTTAATGCACTTCTGACTATTTGCTTTCAAAATTGCTTCATTCACAATGACTGTGACAGCAGTCCTGTAATGAAAATTACACTTGCTGTTCTTGGTGGTTGTTTTGTTGGATTTTGGGTTTGAGGTGTGTTTTGTTTTGTTTTGTTTTGTTTTTAATGTATTTATTTATTTTAGTTTGACAGCAATAGCTATGTTTTTGTGATACTATCTTCACTCAGTTGATCATTGATCTCTACCCTAATATTTCAGCTAGTTTTGTTTGAGTGGTTTACCAAAATTATGATCCTAGAAAGAAGTACATCTAGTTAGTAGAAAACTAACTAAAAGTAAAGTACAAATTTTTATCTGAGGAGAACCTGAAAGAGGGGATAGCTTTTTCCTGAAACAAAGATGAGTATCTCAAATATCCTCTAAATTTTATTGTCTGATTTGTAGAGGAAAGAGTGAAATGGTATGTGACTTTTTTAAAAGATGATTTTGATCCTTTAAACTCTCCAGTAGATGAAGAGTCAACATCATCAATTCTCTTTGTAAGCTATTATATCTTTACCTGGAAATACTTCAGTTTAATACATCTGACACTTGATGTGGAAAGTGAGTTAATTAAAATAAGTAATTATTCTTTAACCTTTTAATTAGTTTCAAGATGGAGTTTGATTAAAATTTTGGAAGAAATCATATAACAATTTATACTGGGTGATGAAAATTTGTGCTAGTTATGTGAATCTGTGCTGTCTGGTAGAGTGGTGTTTCCAGGTGTGTTTGGAAGGATCCTGCCTTCCAGACACCTTAAGTGTATGTGTCCGAACCACGTTCATACTGTCAGCAGGGCTTCTGCTAGTTACCTGGAGAGTTTATTGCCTCCTTGATGAACAATTTGGCTCCCAAGTAACTTGGCTTTCCTCAGAATCACTGGGAGCAGGGTATGTGGTTGAGACTTACAATGAATTAGTGGTATCTCACTTTCTCATATGACCTTTTGCTCAGAGTTAGAAGAATTTTCCCTCATTGGATGAATGGGAACTTTTTTCTGTTTGTTTGTATTGGTGGTTTGTTGGGAATGAGGCAGGCCTCCTCAGGCCGATAATTTGAAAATTCTACATTATATATTGCTGTTTCTCTTTGGTTTCTACATAGGGAGTAATAGACCCATTACAGGAGTATCTGTCCTTCATGATATCGTTGAGGAGCTGAAAATGATCTACTCATGCTATAGGCAGTACAGCTGAACAGTGTAACCTCTGATAGCAAAATGCATAGCTTATCTTAATTTTTATACTAAATGAATTTATAAAGTCCTTGACCCTGCTATGCTACCTAAGTATGTCTTCAGAAACCTAAAAGATTAGAGTTGTCTGTGGTCATAAGCATATGGTATGAGTCACAAACAGGAGGCTCAGTCAAAGACTGCCATGAGCAAAGTAGGACAACTGTGAAGTCATGTCACTACAGTCTTGTCACTACAGTTCTTGTAAGAAAAATTAAAAACTTTTCACGGGACTCAGTCTGGTATTGAGTGGTTAGTGGTTTGCTTTTAGGATTGTATTATTTCATTTACAGTCCTTTGTGACAAATTGAAATTATCAGAGGTTCCTCAGAAGCCTGCGATTCAGGGTAGCAGCTGAAATAAATTACTTAGTTTGTCTGAAAAATGAGTTGTTGACACTCAGACAGCTTTATAAAATAAGCTGTTTCACATCATGCTTCTAGAATTCGTTTTGACAACTTGGAGTTGGAGGCCAAGGCTTCTGAAAGGTATATGAAGTAGCACTTCATCCTCCAGAAAGAGCAGGGAATATAAATGATCCACCAAAGGAGGAATTTCTCATCTGCAGTGTCTCCTGTAATTTATCAGTGCAAAATTGTATGAATGTTTGTTGAAATTGAGAGAAGACATAATCCTCTTTCAGGAGTACTAAATATAGAGATCTAGGAATCACATGTTCTCATCTATCAGAGTTTGTGTCACGTTGTTTTTGGCCATAATGTATTCCTTTAAAGTGAGAACTTTTTATTTTATTTTCTTTAAATAAACTGAAAATATTTGTGTTTTATTCTTATCAAAGTTGATGTTTATTTATTAAAGTGAGAAATAAACTGTTAATAAGTGCTTGTTTTAACATATCCTGAAATCTATGTTTGTCTTTTTATGTCTTGAATTTCAATTAATTCCAAGCCAATTTGCATATTTAATGGGAATCGGTTCTCAACTATGCAGCTTAAATTTGATACGCCTACTTTTTTGTACTCGGAAAAAAACACAACACAACAAACACAAAACAAGGCAGGACAAACTGGCAGAGAACTGTTTCTGAGTGGTCGTACCACACAGACAGTGCTTCTATAATAGCAATAATAAATGGTTTACTCTGTGGAAAAGTAAAGAGTTATTTCAGAAGAAACGAAAATGAGAGGTCTTACGGCTAAGGTCGTCGCTCACCTTTTCTGTCTTTTTCTTGTCTTGTTTTCTCTCTCCTTGTCCTCTACTCAGGAATCTCAGCAGATGCTTGGAAGATTGATTCCAGAAAAGCAGTTGCTTAATGATCAACTGAAGCAAGTTCAACAGAACAGTTTGCATAGTAGGTGTATTTTTTTGTGTATGTATACATTAGTTAGTAAAAGCCACGATGTTGCAATCCACAGCGTACTTTGTAATATTTTGGTATGTTTCAAGATGTGTTTTGAAAACTGTTGCTTTCTGTGACATAAAATTCTCCTTGTAAGAAAATATTTATTTCACAATATGTTTAAAAACAGGAGATTCTCTTCTTACTATCAAAAGAGCCTTAGAAGCCAAGGAGCTAGCCCGTCAACAGCTTCGAGACCAGCTAGATGAAGTAGAAAAAGAAACCAGATCTAAACTTCAGGAAATTGATATATTCAATAATCAACTCAAGGTAACCCTAGACTTTTTTGATGCTTACTTCTGAATGTTCAATTAATCATTTTCTAACTTGATTATGGAGAAATATATTGAACTGAAATGATTGATTTAGAATGTCAGTGTTGACAACATTCTGAAATCTATCATTTGTATTTCTAAAGAAAATACTACTGAGCATTCAAAGAGTTTGAATCAACTTAATCTTCAGAATTTACTTAAGAATGTATTTGAGGTCTGATTCCAGATCTATTATTACAAGTATTAAATTGCCAGTTTATGCCCTTTTGCATCAAAGAAGTGCAAGACTATATATAGTAGGTCATCAAATCTGCTGGAATCAGTACTTCAAATCTTACAGTGACTTAAGACTTCCTACTGACACACAGAGTTTTTTATCTGCTGTTCATAAGCTCATGGCTGTTCCTGAATGTAGCTGTCTGTTGTTTGTGGTTTCATGCTTTATTGATCAGTCTTTTGTTGAAACTGTGTGCTTTTGTTTATTTCTGCACAAGGAAATTACAGAAATTGCAAAAGTCAGTAGAGGAAGTGTTATTTAGAGAAGTTATAAATCAGTCTGCAGTTACGACCTTTTAATAGTGTTCTTTTTTTTATTTTTTGTAATAAAATATTCTAACGTCTAAGTACTTTATCTGCTAATTTAACTGATGGTTTCTTGTGAAAACTGACTAGTAAAATACTCAATTTCCTGCAAGATATAAAAAGTTGTGCTACAGGTATTTAGAAGGAAAAGCACAATGATCAATACATTAAAGTTTCTGTAGTCCTTTTGAAATTAGATCAGCTATGACTACATCATGTGCTTTAGAAAGGAAGGTGTATTGGAAGTTAAGCAACAAATACCTGCTTTCAATACTAAAATTACTAATAACTATAAGAAAAATAAAAAGCTGTAGACCATACCAATAGCAGGGAAGGAAGCAGAAAGGGGATAATCTCCAGAGAATCATACCAAACATAAACCCAAACTAAATATTCAATTAACTTTAAAAGGAAACAGAACAGTTTACCTTATTTGCATTTCCTCTGTCTCTCTGGGTACATTATAACATGCTGTGCTTTTTGCGTGTGTTTTTCTTTTTAACGGAGTCCTTTTGAACCAATTTGAAGATCAAAGAATATTTGTTCTAAAATTAGTGTCAGTATTTGGTTTGTTCATAGGTGACCCAAACAGTTTATAAATGGGCAGAGAGGGGGGTGAATAAGCTTAGTCCCATGACATTAAAAAAAAACAAAAAAAAGGCTCTTAAATTTATTTTTTAAAATACTGAAGGGCTCAACAAATAACAAGCTAATGATTAAAAACTGAAAATTCACATTAAACAAAGACATTGATTTATCAGAATGTCTGCCATCTGTCTTAGAATACATCATCTAATGGTAAGCTATTTTGCAGCTTAAGGGGAAAATTAATTTCTGTGTTCAAATCTTAGTTACCACTTTATATGCTGAGAATTAGTCACAAGGACAGTTTTTAGGATAACTTCAGCAGCCTTTCTTAAACTGAGGATATCCTGTTCTCGATTTCATAATATGTAGACACAGTGCTTGACAGAAAGACCATTTTGTGATGCCGAATGTTAGTATTCTTGCCTTGCTGCAGTTTTCTGTGTTTGCTTGAAGAGAAGAGTTTAAGAAGCAAAAATGAGGCAGTGGGGCAGTTGTACTAATGAAACCGGAAGGTGGGAACAGAGAGAGTTGTATCTTCTCCGTTTTGTCATTTCACTAGATGTGCAAGATGCATTTTTGAAGGCCTGGATGTCTTTTTTGCTAGGTTTAAATATCTGCAAAGATATGCCTTTTCCTGGGCTTAGCATAGGGTGATTGTGGCAATCCCATTGGAAGAGAAGCTGCTTGGAAGATCCTGTGTGTACAGCAGTATTTGAAAGGCCATTATCCTTGTGGAGGAAGCTCTCAGAACACCTTGCATGTGAGACTTTGTGCACAAAGTTAGTGAAAGGTTTCCTGAAACTCTTAGTTTTGTTAGGGTTTCTGTGAAGTAGAAGTTCTGTCCTGAAATGAAGCCAGAACACAGCTATGTCTTAGGTAATAATGGTGCTCAACACAAAGGAGTCTAGGAACTGGAATAATTCTTTTAATCTAAACAGTCAAAAACCTGTGACAATTTTAAGAAGCTGCCATTGGAAAGATGGCTTTTTTTTTTTTTTTTTTCTATTTGGTAATAATTTCCCCAACTAACAGAAGAATGTCTTGTTTAGTAGTAACTGAGCACATAACAGGTTGATTTGATGCTAAAATATCTTGCAATTTGTATAGTTATCTGTCAACTGTACAGTGCTAACATTGAAATGTAAATCCTTTTCAAATAATATATCAAAAATTCAACCATATCTGAGGTCTAAATATAATAAGGGCTTCTTTAACTTCAAAACTAAAGGGAAATATGTACAGATGGGACACACTTAAATATTTATCTTAAAAATGTCTTTCTATTAAATGAATAAAATTTAAACTCCATTTTTAATTAAGGCTGTTCCAAAATTATCTGGTAGTTTTTAATTCATAGGCCTTTTCTATGGTGATCTGCTCTTCCATTGTGTTTTAATATATAACTGAGAGGCACACTGGATGGGGTAGCTGTTAGAACAGCAACACCTGAATTGACGCTGCCTTGGGCAGCTGTTGTTCTCCATCGAGTAATAGAGAATCGCTGGTGCTCACCTAGTTTTCTACAATACAGCTGACTTCTGGCCTAGTAGCAGAATGATGTGGTATTTTTTGTGAATTCCCAGAGTTCCTACTGCTCTCTGAGAACATATGCCAAGCTAACTTACTAGTTTTGATGAAATGCTTGAAGAGACAGTAAAATTGACAGCAACATGGAACCATGACCTTTTGTTATCATTACTGAGATCTATTCCTCATGTTTTGGCTATGAATATCTGTTCTATTATCTTCCATGTGAATACACCACTTAAATTTTGCAACACTACGATTAATTCTTTTGAAACAGATAACACTTGATCCACTGGTATCTGACAGAGAATTACGTTGAGATAGTGCAAGTTAAAGTGAACAGTTTAACTAGTGTCTAGCCTGCCTTTTTGCTGATGTGACTGTAAGGCTTACTTGATGTTCTAAGGTATTTTAGGTTACAGCTCAACTTTTTAACATATCAGATACAGTGGGTTGCACTGCATTTGCCTCCATGTTACAATTCTATGTTCTGCAGTAAGCGAATACACAAAACTGATGTTAAATTACCTCCTATTTGCTTCTTGTCTTAATAGCATATACGAGTGACTAGGGAGATAACTGAAAGTTTGTTTTTTTTGCCTTTTTTTTTTTTCTCAGTGAATCTTCTTTCATCCCTCCAAAGCAACTGATTTAAATTTCTTCCCATTAATCCTTTAGAACTCAAGTACTTCAGCTACTTCTTTTTCAAGTTAACATCTCAAGAGTTTGAAATGTTCATAGAATTGCTTACTTTTCAAAAACTTTCTGGAGCTTGAATTATTATTAATGTTTCAAAGGAAGTAGATCCAGGTATCTCTATTGAATATCTGTAGCTAGAGCCACATGGTTTGAGCTAACTGGTAGTCCTTAGAATTACCTGGCTTCTAGGGTGCCACTGTGGCCACAAAGTCTAAAAGTCTAAAGTCTAAAGCCACAAAATTGACCAAGTGTACTTGTTTGGCAAAGAAATAGGTACCTTAGCCTGGAGCTTGTCAGATATCTTTTAAAATCCTATTTGAGGTATTTTATCAAATAATATAATAGTCTTGTGGGTTGCGATGTATTTGACTACAGAATAAGTGACTGAGTTTGTAAGAAGGTTGAAAATCAGGTCCTTAATTAAGTTCAAGGAGTCTAACTTTTAGTACTCTTTAAAATCCTAGCCTAGAAAGCTAATAACTAAAACTGATACAGGTACTAGTAAAATGTAACTAGACACTTGTTTTTTTCTATATAAAATAATTTTGTAGAATAGAAGGCTTTACATTAGGTTTCCTGTTTGTGTATATATAGCTCTCCTATAATTTACCTTTAAAAATTCTACATTCAGTGTGAATTCACATTTAAATTTTGCAATGGTCAGTCATTACACAGTCAAATAAAACTATTAAAATGGTTCTTAATATAGTTTTATGAAATAACCAAGCAGTTATTTCATACAGCATTGAAGAATCATGTATTTGGAGCTTATCTGAGTTACTGCACAGGAGAAAACAACTAAATGAATGTCTCTGAAATATGTTAACCTTGCTGAGAAGCTGTTCTCAGTGCCTGGAAAAAGTGGTGAACGGCTAGAATCAAGGTCTTAAAAATGTCTTACATTTTGTGTCATGTTCCAGTTGTTGTCAGTCCCTGTCTAGTCAGTGTGCACTGGACAAGTCTTGCATATGAATGCCTGTTTACATTTGAGCATTTCTTTCTTCCAGTCAGTGGCAATGGAAGATGCAATGCTGCAGTGCCTGGCAGTTCTCCTGGGCTGCGTCAACTACTTAGACTCCTTTCTAAAGGTCTCCATGCCATACTCAGGCAGTACACAACTATCTCAATCTGAGTGATGAACCTCCTCCAGTTATGTGCTTCACTTTACCAGATTTGTTTACAGATGAGTGTGCAGTGTTTAACTAAGTTAGTATTTAATAAAAGGTGCTAGCACTAAAGCATAACCAAAGAGAAGAGTTTTTGTAATCTTATTTATCTAATCCTTGGTGTTTAAATGAGGAGTGTGCCTTGATTTAGAACCTGGGCAAGGTACTAGTTAGTTATTTTTGTCTTTTGCATATCTTGACACTTCAAGATTTTAAATTAATTGCCTATTTTGGTCATCATCAGAATTTTAAAATGTAAATGACAAAAACATTAATCTTAAGCATTCCTACACAACGCTGTAATTTGTGATTCCAGGTACGAGGGAGATGGCAATACATTCCCTTTATGAAATCCCCCATAACTATGATATGGGGCTAAAGGAAGAACTCTCTCTGTCCAGGACAGAAGAGGTGCTTTGGGGTCTGGGGAATTGGGTAGAAAAGTATTGCTGTGGGAAAGCCTCAGTGAGCACAGAACTGTAGGGTTCTTTCCTCTGGGATCAAATGCTCTGGTTTGTCTCAAGAGAAGATTTGATGGAAACCTTGTGCTGTAATCCTTGAAGAGTGTTCTAAGCTGTCCTGTCTTTCTGTCAGAGGGCAAAATTTGGGCTTAAACTATTAAATTTTTGAAGTTAAGGTTTTCATATCAATATGACTTGTCTGTATATAGTGAATATTACTCTGCTGTATGAAATTCATATTTTAACTCGTATTCAATATTATGTGGGTACCTAAATGTGGTTATTGTAACATCTCAAAATTATTTTTATACTTGTTAGTCTGTTTGTGAATTAAGAGGAAAGGTAACAATTTCTCCCTGTTTTTAGGCTAAGACATTCTTTGTCCTGCACACCAGAAACAAGCAAAGCGTTCTTATGTCTTCAGAGTTACGATACACGATTTGTACAACTTCTAAGTTGCTTGTGTGTGTAAAGGATGAGCGTAGGACTGTGCTGAATATTCAGCTGGCAAATGTTTTGTTCTGTTGACTGTTGAAGTGTTACTATAATTCTGTTCAGTTGGTGTCCTGCAGCACGGTGGGAGATAGTGATTCTTTCTTCCCCCATCCTCCCACTGGTACTTGGCAAAGCAACAGAGCATCTATCTGCTGCATGAGATACCAATCAAATCTGTTTTTCTTCCTACTTGATGCAAAGAGGGATAATTTTTGCATTTTTACCTCCAAAATACTCCATCTAGTGCTAGGTGTGTAAGCTAGGTTGGATTTTCTTAACTGTTACTGGTATGTCATGCAGAAAATCTCTGCACAAAATACTGAACTAGCATACTGGCTTAACTGGGAAGGAATAATGTGTAAAAAAGTCTGTGGAAAACTGTATAAAATACTGAACTAATATATTGGCTGAGCTGAAAGGGAATAATGTGTTAAAAAGTCTACAGGAAACTTTATAAAACTGTCACCTGAGATCCTAACTTAGCTGAGCATACATATAAAATGACAAAAAAAGGAAAAATAAAATTAATTATTTGGACTGAAGTTAATGATCTTGCTGTATGTACTCAATATGAGAAATTATTTGCTTCAGACAGCCATGGAGACATGGCTCATAGCTAGAACCTTCTCAGTTTCCTATTTGGCACTAGAAGTAGTATATATTGTATGTTCAGTAGTGAGATAAACTTGTCTAAGCTATAATTAAAATATAAAGTTCAGGCTAGCCTTGCAGTTAGACACCTAGTGGAAGTAAATAGTGTTTGGTGTGTACTAGGCACTGCTTTGGTCTTGCAAATTCTTGCGTGTTTTTATGTATTTGAGATTTGAGGATGCTTTTCTGAATGGGGGAAAATACCAGTTGTTTTTGAATTAGAGGATTTGAATTCCTCCTGGTTCTGCGATCATAGGTGAACCAAATCATTCTTTTTAGCGTACAAATTTCTTGTTAAAAAGTAAACCAAGCTGATGTTTTTTCACCTGGGTTATCACAGATTTTGTGTTTTGTTTTCGTTTAGCTAAGATAGCCTTCATACCCTTGAAGAATGTTAGTTCCTCTTTCTTTGCTGTTATCTTTGTGATAACTCCTATTTAATTGCTCATGCAGCAGAGTTTGAGAAAAAGATGCAAAGGGGAAGAAAAAGCAAACCTAGAAAGTGCTCTTGTCTAAATAACTTTTGCAAATAATAGTATGTTGTCTTCAGTGTTGCTTTATTAGAAATACATGACTACCTCAGGTCTCTCTGATCTCCTCAAGCAGACTTTTCCTTTGTCTCATCAGCCAAGACTCAGAATCACAGAATCACAGAATTTCTGGGTTGGAAGAGACCTCAAGATCATTGAGTCCAACCTCTGACCTAACACTAACAAGTCCTCCACTAAACCATATCCTAAGCTCTACAGCTAAACGTCTTTTAAAGACCTCCAGGGATGGTGACCCAAACCACTTCCCTGGGCAGCCCCTTCCGATACCTAACAACCCTTTCGGTAAAGAAGTTCTTCCTAACATCCAACCTAAAACTCCCCTGGCGCAACTTAAGCCCATTCCCCCTCGTCCTGTCACCAGTCACGTGGGAGAACAGGCCAACCCCCACCTCGCTACAGCCTCCTTTAAGGTATCTGTAGAGAGCGATAAGGTCGCCCCTGAGCCTCCTTTTCTCCAGGCTGAACAAGCCCAGCTCCCTCAGCCGCTCCTCGTAGGACTTGTTCTCCAGGCCCCTCACCAGCTTGGTCACCCTTCTCTGGACAATAAGCTTGAGCTTCTTGGCATACGCTTAAGGGACAGCAGGGGAATGGAAGTGAAGGAAAACAAGAGCAAGGAGAACACCACAGGATTTCTAGACTGAAGGCTGTGCTAAAGTTGAACTAAATGTAGGAGTCAGCAACCTGTGCTTTGGGTAGCAGTCTTCTTATCCAGAAAGAGAAAAAGCTAGTTAAAATCATGAATACCACTCAGGATACTTGATACTTCACAGCAATAGTATTTTGAGCTCCAAGAGCTTTGTAGAGACTTTGTTTTGCACGTGTGGAGACTTCTGTAATCTACAGAAATTCATAATACCCTTGAAAGCTGTTTTCCACATGGCAAACTGGGCCATTTTCTAACCTATATCCTTTCAGATAAATGCTTGCAAATCACTGAACTGCTAGTGTATTTATGGTTGTATAGTAGTCCTTTGCACTTGTACATATTTTTTATATAAATGAGGGTTTGAATGATCATACAAAGATGATGGTGACTATGATTCCTTCAGAGAAATTAATTGGAACCAAGGGTCAAATCCTTTGTACCTCAATATATTACAAGTGTAACAATATTAAAGAAGCTGAGTTAATAACATACAGTTATTGGAAAAGACTTCTTACTATAGTTAACATTACAGAAAAGTCTGGTGCAGGCCACACGTAGCTCCAGCAGCTGTTGTCCAACTGTGTGTTCACTGAAATATCCTAATCCCTTTATTTGCTCATTGTTCTTCATGGGCCAGCTACTAAGAAACCATTATGTTGAATATTGCTAATGCTTTTCCATTTTAGTATCCCTTTTCCTTAGTCCAAAATAAGGCTATGCATGAATATTTATAACCATGGGCATTCAGGGTTTAAAAATTTTCCCAAAGGCACTATCCTGCCTGAATAATTCTGGTGATTTCACAGGAGTAGTTTATTTTATATTCTGTAATATCTATTCTAGATCTTAACTATCTGCTAAGCTTTCATATGACTATGGAAAATAATGACGATCATGAAATATAGTATTGCCCAAATTATCTCCATATTTCATTGAGTTTCATGGCCTTAGCAGAGTTTATATTAAACTTGTATAGGAACTGATTATCTCTTTAATGATGCTGAACTCAGTTTTCACTGAATTTAAAATTGAGGATCATTAAGAAAATGTGACTCAGGACTAGGACACTAAATGCAACTTAACTTTTTAAAACTTTCATTCATATATCAGAAATGTTTTAATACCTTGCAAAGGTCAAGTGCTACTCCTCTTAACAATGTAGTTTTAACTTCATCTTAATATTTGATGTTGCACAGTGCAGTCTTTAAGCACTAATTCATGTATTAATTTCACTGACAGAAATTTTTAGATACATTATAAATTTAATCTGTAAATAAACAAATATTAACTTTCAACTTGCATGAAAGCTAAGAAGTTACTAATAATTTTGTGCAATTATTTTGAAATTAACTCACTTTTCTGATTTGGGCCCTTTGAATCACATGATATTTATTTATTCTCTTATGCAATTTTATATGTTTTGGTCAATGTCTGAGGATAGTTGCATGAGGTCTTCATTTGGCTAATCTGTAGATTATGAATTTCTGAAAAACTATCACAGTACTTTCAAGATTACTTATTTCGGTGCCTGAGTAAATTAAGATAAAGCTTTTAAGGACACAAGAACTAAACAAACCTGTTCAATGTGAGTCATATTTCAATAAAAGCAGACATTACTAAGATACAGATTTAGAAACAATTTCCTGTTATAAACTTTTTCTGCATATTTTGTGTGTACTATTCTTTTTCAATGTGGACTATTTTCAATGAAAATGTTTCTTTTATTCCTTATAATACTGAGGAGTTTAGACTCAAAATAGAAAAAAATCTAGACTCTAGATTACACAAAGAGATGCAAGATCTAACTGGTATTTCTGTTAGTAGTAGATGTTCATGCAGAAAATAAGTCTTGAGAAAATATGATGTTTTTGTTATTATTTGTATTATAAACGTTTCAAGCACTGTCTTTATAATTAACCAAAGGAAAACTGACTTGTATATGGATGAATACTCTCTGTACCACAGTTTCATCCCAAAGTTGTTGCTTAAGGAATTCTATCTCCTGGACATAAAACAATCCCGAATCTTCTTTAGTAAATCACCCTTAATTTCAATATAAAACCAAATAATTGAAGCAGTAGCTATTATGAGCAGTTCATAGGCCAGATTTTTGTATGAAATTTAATAAAATCAACAAATCAGCAAATGAAATAAAACATAATTGACTGTTCAGGTGCAACTTTGTCAAAGTTTTGTCAGCTTTTTAGAGTTCCACTTTAAAAAAGGCTTACTTGTTTCTTAACTCTTTAACATCTAAGTTAATAAGGTTAAAATTTAGGAAAACGTGAATGTTTTCCTTACAATCCTTTGAAATCTACCTTAAATGCCTGCCAATGCATTTGGCTATACTGAAAGTTTGAAGAGATATCCAACCATTTGCAATTTTTGTTGCTTCACAATGAAAATGTTACGGGGCCATTAATTCTGATTCACATACTGTATGGTTACACATATTTTACTTTTTTGTCTAGGAGCTGAGAGAAATACATAACAAACAGCAACTACAGAAGCAAAAGAACTTGGAAGCTGAGAGGTTGAAACAGAAGGAACAAGAAAGGAAGACAGAACTAGAAAAGCAAAAAGAGGCTCAAAGGTAACAAAATGCTCTAGTTTATGCCCTTCCTGTGGAGATACTGGAGTGCAAAGCATTTTGCAAAAAAAGTCAAATAAGCTTTGTATTTCCAGGAACATAATCTGATCCTAAATAATATGTTACTAAGTGTCAAGAATATCTAAGACCTAGAACAAGTTTTGGTTCAGTGCAAATAACTTCTTCAGAAATGAAGGTTTTTTTTTTATCCTTGAATGAAAAGTGTGTTGTGGAGATGAGCTTCTACATCTGTCTGTGACTCTTAACTGTCAATGACACATACAGATTTCAGCAGCATTACTTAAAAGGTGTAGTGTACTTCTACATTTAGAGATAGAGCTAATGGTTTTTACCATACACCTTGGAAATAACTTTTTAAATGTATTTATAATATATTTATGGAAAATAAATGGCATAAAATCTAGCAAGCAGTTCTATTCTAACATAATTTATTTGTAGCTTCTTGATTAAATTTTTAGCAGTTTAGGGGTTTTTATGCTGTCAATCTGGATAAACACTGGTCAAGAATGAACACAAAGGCCTGGGAACAAGGGATCTTAAATTATTGGTTATCATAGTACATAGATTGTGATCTAAAGCAACTTCGTTGTCCGTGTTATTTCTTTGTGAGTCAAGTTAATTTTATATTTCAGGCAAACCAAAACAAGGTCTCAGTGAAAACCTCGTCTTCAAACAGAAATCTTACACATAGAAAGTAGCTAAGTTAGGGTAGTTCTTTAATTACTTGCATAGAGCCGGTGCCTTTAAGAATCTGAGGTATTGACTTCAGAAAAAGCAAACTTTCTAAGAAAACAAGAAATCAGTCCCCTACCCCTGAGGTATGTTTTCATCTGCTCTTCTCAATCCAGCAGCTAGAACAAACTTGGTTTATATCTGTGGGAAGAATTAATTACTCTACTAGAAACAAAATCAAAAATTAATTTTCTAAAGCCCATCTGACTAAACTCACCATGTAAGACACCACTGAAGTTAAAAAAAAAAAAAAAAAAAAAAAAAAAAAGAGTGCTTTGTGTCTGTATATGATGCAGATGCAGCCTCAGTGTTGCAACAAAACTGCTGAGTAATTGGCTCTGAATACTTTACAAATGAACATGCCAAGGACAAGTTCAGTGATTGAAAGAGGAGGTTGACAGAACAGTGAATTTATTAAGTTTTTAGATGACTTTACACTGAAGGCAGAAATGTATAGCAGTAGTTTGTAGAGGAGTAAGTAATATCATCACTGGTGTCTTAACCTATACTCATGGTATACTGATGTGAAATACTGAGATTGTGTCAGCAGTTTTGTTTTGAACCAAGGATGTTTTTTTTAGCTTCTAAGTTAGTAGTTGTCACATTACACAGGTACTGAGTACCTTGGGATCTCTCTAAAAATGTTTTTGTCAACTCAAAACTTAAAACGACAGAAGATGATATTTGCCCTCTGGTGCCAACCTATCTTTTGGAAAGTGAATTTCTACCCTTAAGTGTTTTGGCCAGGAATTCTTGGCACTCTTGGACGAAATATGTGCTATAAGGTAGGCCAAGTCTGTAGTGGAACAGGCCACAGTACACATCAAATCACCCTGTGTGTCTGTTACAACCCTTTAGAGTTATCTTTACCAGTACAAATTGTTTCTATGAGACAATACTTACCCATTTTTTTCATGTCCTCTGTCAGTGGGTGGAAAGGACTTGTTGGCTTTCACAGGTAGGAACGTCAAATTTTCTGAGTAGTTCTGTAAGAGTACTGCATGAAGCTGGTGGATGCTTTTTTAATCCTTGCCCCAAAACAGAAAGATCAGGTCTGCCATATTTTCTGATTGCCACTTTTTTCTGATTTGGATATTTTGTGTCTTACCTAGAGATGCTTGTAGCTTTGAGAAAATAAGTAGAACCAATTTGTTTGAACACTATTCCTGACTTTTTCCTGCATTTTAAAGCTAAAGTGGGTGTTGAACAACAGAAATGGAAGAGTATAATTTGCTGCCTGTTGTGTTTCAGAGAAAACTATAGAAGAATAAATTAGTGAAAACATCTGGTGATAGTTGTAGCTGATATCTACAGTTCTAGATTAACTAAAAGGAATTGTGAGGCAAATGAAAATAGTAACTCGTAGTGGTGATATAATGGGATGCTCAGATTGCTCGGGAAGAGATTATGAAAAGCAGCCTTACAGGGTCGTGAAGGGCTTATTTATGGGTTCAATTTTTTTTTTCTATGTATGGTTCATTACGTAAAACAGTTGCATTAGATTTGTGAATCCCATGGAAAAGTATAAAAAGAGAATACACAAATATTGTTGAATCCCCAAGTTGAGACTGATATTGCTAAATTGAAGATCTGGGACTGAAAGTGTAAAGATACTGGATTGTATAAAGCTTATAATTTTCAGAGCACTGTAAGCTCAGTAAGAGACTGTTACAAAACACGTATGTAAAGTTTCACACGGTAATTAGAAAAACATAGTTAAACAGATTTATTTTCACGTCATTAAAGATGAGAAGAAATCACAGTCTTGATAAAGAAGCAGTTAAACTGTTACAATTCAGTCAGTAAGAACACTTAAGCATTTAAAAATCTCTGAAGAACTCTTGATGAGAAGAAATTGTGTTAAATGTTTTTTCCCTTCTTACATTCAGCTCCAAACCACAAGTATTTAATTTCTCACTGTATGCTGAGGCCTTTTCAAGTGTTCTGTGGAATTGTGTTGTAAAGGCATAGACTTCACATGTGAGTTAAAATAAAAAGTGATATTAAAGTTCATTTTTAGATGCAAAGACAAAACAGTTTAAAGCAATAGAGTCGTACAGTTAGTAGCAGGTTACACAAATTATTGTCCTCTCGCTGTCTGAGTCACAGCTCTTTCTTTATGAATACATACAGTCTTTGCCATCTAGGAGCCACTGTGTAAGAAAATGTTGTGGAGTGGTTGATAACTCAAAAAATAAAATTACCAGATCTGGTATTGTAGATTGTAGATCTATTTTGTAGATTACGCACAAGGACAAGTAACTTGTATGGTCTTTTGTTTGACTGACTTAAAAAAAAAAACAAAAAAAAAAAACACTGTTACTTGTCCAACAGACGAATCCAGGAGCGGGATAAACAACGGCTTGATCGAGTGCAACAAGAAGAAGAACTCCAGTGGCAAAAAAAAAATCAGGAAGATGAGAAGCAAAAAAGGGAAGAAATAACCAAGAAGAAAGAAAGCGAGGATAAGGGGAAACAGGAAATCCAAGAGAAACTGAGTAAGCTTTCCCAACCACATCAAGAACCAGTCAAGCCAGCCGTCCAGGCTCCTTGGTCAAATGCAGGTAGAGGAAGAAATCAAGAAATGCCGTTGCACACGCCTTTTGAAGAACCATATGTTTCACAATTGAATTGTTCATTTTATTGAAATAAATCATGAGTGGTTTGAGCTCTAAACTCCAAAAGGTTGTTCTCTTCTAGGCTTCAGTATTCTTCCTAAAAGTATGGTGTTCAGCAGACAGAATAAAACACAAGTCAATGAGACTCGAAGTGTGCAAACTGAAGGAAGAATCTTAGATAAAAAATGGTCTAAGATGTTGACGTAAGGTGTCAAAAATTACTGCTGCACATCTCATTACAAACTTTAAGAAATCTGGATTTTTTATCGTATCAGTGTGTCACTTAGCTATCCTTCTTCCTCTTCCCCTTTGACATGCATGTTGCTCGCTGAACAAATGACCTGAAGTCTACGATATAATCTTCTTTCTTCTGTTATGCACGTAATCACTTTCAGTTGGGAGCTTTTTCTCTGCATTATAACCTAATTTTTGCCCATATTTGGAATCATGGTACTCTCTTAAGTGGTTTTGATAAATATACATGAAAATTGATCGGTAATGTAGTATTTGTCTAAATACTTGATCAAAGGACTGCATAACAGGGAAATTACCTTCTATCTTTTAGGACTAATCTAGAGTTAATCAATTATATATTCTTGTTAGGTATTATTTGGGCAGAATAGCTGAGGGCAGTTCTGTGACAGAATACACAAACAGGAACTGCATTATATGAAAGAAGTGTAGCTTATCTTTTTTTTTTCTCTATTCTTCTTTTCACTAGTAATGCATCTTTAATACGAGCATGTGATTTTTAAAACACCATCTGTAAGTGACCTCTTTTCAGCTAATCCGTGTGTGTTAGGACATTCTGAAACATCTTTTTTCAAAGTATGGTCAGGCTGCAATTGAGGCTGCTGCATAAGCAGGCTCTAAAACTATTTGGCATACCACTGATACATGCAAGAACATCACAGTTTGAATTGAATCTATGGCTTACTGCTCAGATATAATCTACAAAATCAGTGATGCATTTGAGAAGTCATGTATGTTGCATCGTAAGTGCATGATTCTTTCTACAAATAGTCGTGTACATCATGTTAGTTAAAATGTAGTAATATTATACATATTAAGATGAGAAAATAGTAAGCAATCATTTAAAAACACGCTTTTTCCTATTTCCCCTTGTGTAAAAGGATAACATACTTTCTACAGACAATGTAAGGTTTGTTACTTTATGGTATCCACTTTTGCCTCATTTTTCAAGTCTATAAAAATAATGCCTTTTTTTTTTTGTATCTGTGTTTTTTTCTTTGCTCAGAAAAAGCTCCTCTAACAATTTCTGCTCAGGAGGATGTAAAAATAGTGTATTATAGAGCACTGTATCCTTTTGAATCAAGAAGCCACGATGAAATCACTATTCAGCCTGGCGACATAGTCATGGTAAGAATGGATTATGATATTTAAAAAAATAATAAATATATATATATTTTGCATTTGTTTGAGAAGAATTATATGTGGCAGTATTTTATTTATTTTTTTTTTTTACAAATTTGTGAAAAATATTTCAGTGAATATCAAAATATACAGGATGTGATATTGCAGATTACCTATTACAATAACATATAGCTTCTTAGAATTCACTGTAATGTAAAGTTTAAACATAATCTATGAGCGGATCATATCAGCTGTAATATGCTGAGCTGTGTGTGTTTGAGGTGCAAAATGTTTGAAAACGTTCCTTTACAAAAGTTGTCATTGTGAGAGGTTTTTTGTCCTTCAAGGTACCTAGGGGTTAAAGTTACTTTTATTTTGTATTGAGAGAGTGGCTGCTATGGGTTAAATCAAAAAGTGGCTTTGATAAAAGTATGTTTTTAAGAAATTTACTTTTTTTTTTTTTTATATAGGAGTAGTACTAGAGCAGTGTTAAAAAAATAATTTTAAAAATTGCCTTTGTTAAGAAAATGTGATGTCCATTGTAATACCAAGTGAAACAATCATACTATGCTACAAGATGGCCATACTTCTGTCAGGATCCCATAAACATTAGCCAAGGCTTTGTAGGGTAGTGTTTTTAGATTTTTTTCTACAACTCTTTTGGTGACAGTTTTTGAGATAATGACCTAATTTAATTGTAGCTTGAAAATCATTTCTGTAATTACTCTGTTCTTATTTTTTGCTTTTTATCTACTTAACTCTTTTGTGAGACGCTTTTACATTTATTTTCAAGAGGATATAAAGTAGATGAAATGTCATTTCAGAAAAAAGGGAAACTTCAAAACCTAAACATTTGATTGCAGGTGTGTTGATACAGAAGCATTTCCATTCATTTTTAAAATAGATGATGAGATAATGGAATATGGGCTGCCTATAACTGTTGTGTTAAACTTCATATTCTCTAAAGCTGTCTTCTGCTTTTGGCACAACTATATTTTTAAGTTACAATTCTGTTGTTAATGACTGCAATATTAATATTAATAACTGGCTAGTATGATCTTAGCATGCTCACGTCTATTCATAATGAAAATGCCCGGTGTGGAAATTAAATGCTATTTTGTTCACTGTAGGAAAGTATATTCATTATAGTGTTCCAAAAATATTTTAAGAGTCATTGCATTTTGACACAGTTCAGTAATAATGGATTTTAGAAAAAAAATTACCCTTTGTAGACTGTCATAAATTGTAATGATATCTATAAGAGAAATGCATCTATTCTAGGGAGATGAGCCCTCATCTCTCATCCTTTTTTGTTGTTGTTGTTGATTCAGCTGTGTCACAATGAGGTATTTGTGACATTAAAATCTGCTTCTGGAAATTAAGTGAATCCTGTGTTAGCAGCAGTACTGAATGACTTGGGAAGAGGTCTGATCCCATTCTGAATAAAATTGCAGTGTGCTATTATTCTTCATCAAGAAATAGTATTGATCAGTCAGCTGTTAAATTAGAGAGGATATAGGTACATGGGTCTCCTTGGGCTCTCAGAAAATGCCATATCTCTCTTTCTTGGGAAATAGATTGTAGCCTCGACATATAAGTAAATTTTTTTTTAATTATTTTTTTCAAAAAGTGCTCACTATTAGGTAGACTCACAGGGAAATACCACTTTGCCAAAAATATGTGATTTTAAGGAGCACTTCACACGTTTTAAATAAAGTCTTTGGTACAACATAAGTTTTTCTATATGTTATTTTGGACTTTATTATAGCTTACTCTAGAAAAGAATATTCTCTAGCTCAGTTTTCTTTATTTAAAACACTTCTAACAATAATTAAACCTGATGACTAATCCTTGTGGGATTTATCCCCTGCTCTGTAGTAATTGCTTAAATGGGCTACTCTTAGAAAATTAATATAAGTAAAACACTTTTGCGAAATGTGTTATAATTCTGCCTTGCTTTAAATCATTGCTTTCCTGATGGAGGTTAAAAGGGAATGGGTAAGTGTGCCATATGACTGTTAGGAAGTCTATGCAATTTATTCATTTTCATAAATACAGATTTTGTTACCATGTAGTTTACTTGTTTTTGAGTTTATGTAGGGTGAAGTAACAAATCAACTCACATTGTCAAAAGTAATTTAAGTACAATGGAGCAGAATTTACTTTTGATAATGGGCATTTGGATTCCTAGACTCTTATCTGTCCTTAAGTGTTTGTCGTGTCATGTGGGTCTACAAGGTTTGAGTCAGTTACGTCTTTTGGAAAATAATGATTTACAAGCTTACATGTTAAAGTGTGTCTGATGTTTCATTTATGACATAAATGGTTCAGCTGACCTCTACAGTTAGGAGTTTACTGTGTGCAACAAGAAAAACTTTGCTTAAAGTAATTGTGTTCTAACATAGGTAACTTCAGTATTTACCCATCTTAACACTATAAAAGGCTTTGCCTGTGCAGGCCTGTGAAATCATGTCCTGTATCATATAGATATACAGGAGATGTTACCCAAACTGTCACTGCTATGAGCAAAGAATCCAGCTGAAGCACACATCCATTGACAGAGCACATGGAAAACAGGCCTAAATCCTGGGTTTAAACAGGACTGCAGAATTCATTATGTCAGAATGACTTGAGGCTTTAATAGGTGTATAGCTTGTAAATAGCATTTGACAACAGTGTAATACACTTTTACACTGTGCATGAATGTTGAGGTCTGTCTTGGTAGGAATGAAGGAGAAGAAGGCTTCATTCTGAAAGAAGTATTTGCAAAAGTGTAGATGGGGAGAGCTTTCTTCTGCTTTACTTTCCAGTACATGTGCTAGCTATCTATAGGACTAATATATGTGAAGTAGTTTAGAGAATGTGTGGGGCGTGGGCTGTATTTTTAAGAAAACACATCTACTTTTTAATTAAAGGATTTTTGCATCTTACCTTGGATTTCTGCTTTCTCTGCTTCTTACCTTTTTACATACTTGAAATAACTTCTACTGTAAGACTGAGGCCTTTCACTATGTAGATTGATTTATAACCCTAACTATAAGTTAACCAAGCTTTTGTCTGGGAACAAAATATATTCTGAGCCAAGAAAGCCATGCCTGGTTCAGGGCTCTGTCTGTTCAAGAACTTAAGTTTCTATTATGTGTATGGGTATGTGTATGCGATGTGTGCAATTCTTTTCCTTTGGATAGCTCTCTGACAAAACGGGTCCTGCTGGCATTTGCTGCTGTTAGGCTCCATCTTGGAGTAAGTGAATGGATTCTGTTGTTACTGGCACTCTTTGATATAATGCAGCTTATTTAAATAAACAAGTACAATTCAGCGAAATACAGTTGAATTATGGAGTTACTGAACTGCAGTGGCTCTGGTAGTAGAACATAATTTAAATAGAAAGTTCATAAAAGAAGCTTAAACGAGAAGTCTAAGTCAATATGATAATGGTAGTTTGTTGTCGGTTTTGTTGGCTGTTGATTGTGAAAGTCAGAAGGACTGTTCTTTGTATTGGGTACATAGGCAGCCTTGTTGTCTTAGACCCTGTGTAGGCGTAATCAACATATGGCCTCTGGCGTGCAGAGCTTATATTCAGCATTGTACTAGGAAACCCGGTACTCTCCCAGTAGCGAGACCAAAGGCCTACACATGAAGTAGAATTAAAACGACAATTTGATGGGTAGCTAAACAAAACAGACTATGATACTCTGGTTAGTTTTCATTAAATACTTTTTGGAGAGTATTAGGTTTTCACTTCATACGTAGAATTAATTGCTACTGTAAAGCAGGACTTCTGTTTTTGTGTACATGCACTGCTAGTGATACACAAGCCAGCTCAAAGCGGGGTAGGCCTCTGCAGAGCTGACAGAGATATTGACTGTGCCTAATGCTTCTGTAGCTAGGAATGGTATTGCTGTTACCTCTGTTGTTTGTTGTGTTGAACCACAGGGAACGAGAATTTGTAAGCTGTGGCTCTAAAGGACAGTTAAATAAATGAAAAATACACACGCTGTAATGCAGTGTTCAGGTGTACGTTCAAAGTCTAGTTGTATTTTGGAAAAAAATGATCTGCAATAAAAGTCTGTTGTAGAGACTTGGGATTGTGGGTGTAAAAATATAAGGAAATTGGAACAAATTAATTTTTAAAAGGTTTGAAGGAATGTATTTAAAGTTCTAGTACTGTACTACAAAAAGAGATGCAGATTATATTTTATATGAATGAGAGAACATTTTTAATGAATTATAAAGTGAAAATGATCTTTCAAAGTGTCTTTTCATGAGTATATGATGAAAACCCAATTTGACTGAATAAGCATACATTTGAGTATCTTAATAAGCTGTTTTAAGAATAATTTTAATGTAAAACTCTTCTAAGGAGACATTAAATCTGTTGCTTTAAAAATCCCTTTGGTATTTTTTTTGTCTGCTTGTACAAAACATTTTTTTCTGAAAACTCACAGTGGTTTTTGTATTGCTGTGATTTGTTTCAAGGATGGCCATTTTAGAAGGTCGTGGTAACAGATTTTCATCTTTCAGTGCTTATTCCTTTGTATATTAATGATTCTAGTTACTACCTGAAAACTGAATGAGAGTCCAAATTGCGTGTATATTATTACTGTTTAGATTTTAAACTTTGCATCAGGTGCTGATGCAAACCATTTCTCGCTCACTCTCCCAAGATTCACCCTCTGCTGTGACCTCCCATCACTCATACTGCTGCTCTAACAATCCTATTCAGTGCTGCAGTGGAAATTTTGCTCTGCACTGCAGTAAAACCACATTGAACCGGTCAAGCATGTACTCCATTCATTTCGCTTTGAGTTAATAGGGGCTGAGACAGAAGATGGGTGCAACAAAAAGCAGAAATAATGGATTGTTTTGCACCAAAAGAGGAGTGTGGGATAGAAATTACAATAGTAGGCAGTCAAAGAGTCAAGACATGGAGTAAAGCAAAGCAATCTATCAGCAGCTCAAATGAGTAACCTAGGGACAATCAGAGGCAGAGGCTTTGCTGCTTCAGTTTGAGTCACTTCTCTACAAAACAACGTTCCCACCCTTATCTAAAGCAACTTGTTTACACCATTGCCACAAATACTTCTTTTTTGCCACTGTTCCCCCCCCTCTTTTTTTCAAACCGCTGATCAGTTTATATTGTTAAAATTAATAGAATAAATAGGTGTGTTTCCAACTGTCAGAGCAACTAGCTTGAGATACTACCATATGCCATTGCTGTATAATGTCATTATATTCTGAAAATCCCGATGTCTGAAAAGGATACTATTGCTAATTCCTTAGCTCACGAAGCATACTGTTAACAACAAATCCTTCAAAATGCTTGGGAGGTAGGGTCAAGTGATTTCATATTACAGATTTAAGCATCTCTCACTGATTGCTGTACTGTTAATTGCACCAGTTAATTGATTTATGCTCTCATTTGAAACTTCTAAGTATTTTAAAATACTGATTGTTACTGGACTAAACAGTTGAGAGAAATTCTTGCCAAAAACAGCCCTTGTGTAGGGCTAGTCATTTGACTTTTCATTACTAGCCTGGTTTTAATTACTAGGGAAATCTGCAGCTATGCACAGCAGATAGTTGTAGACAGTAGACATTATTTACATGTAAAAGGTGCAAGGCATATTTGTATATAAGGGTTTGCTTAAACCCTTAAAACTGAAATTTCTTTAGAGTATCAAAGAGGTTAGATGGCTAGATCACCAAATTTACCATAATTATTATAATTACCCCTAATAAAATTACTGCCTTTTTTCTTTAAAAAAAGTTTCTGCAACCTCCAGATGCCTTGTCAGTGTTTAACCACCCTATCGATTCATGAGTCACGAGGGGTAGCAATGGTGAATTATTTTTCTTCTGCAATTCTTTTTTTACTGTGGAATTAATTTGAATAAATATATTAGATTTGTTTTGTTTGGTTTGGTTTTGAATTTGTGTGACAAGGGTTAATTTTAATATGCTGTGTTTCTGTTTTCTGAAAAAGGAAATCTAGGGAAACTTGTTAAAGTTAAACATCTTCATGTTGCATTAGTTAAACCAGAAATAGCATTATTTAATTGAGTCTCCAGAACTAGTGTCTCTAAGTCTGGTTTACTATGACAGACTTTCAAGCAACTGTTTAAAAAACCCACGCTTGGCTTATGCATTAGGGCTGAAATGAACCTTTTTGTACTTCATCACCAAGAAAAAAAAACTTTTTGATTTTTGAAAAAAATGGATTGCAAAGCAGTGTTGCATTGCAAAATATTTCCTCAGCTGTTGATATGCCATAGAAGGAATAGCTGACAACATAATTCTCCAACAGTACATTTAATAATAACAACAAAACTCTACCTAAGTGGAACTTGTTTTTATAATGAAGGTATAATTTTGCTGTAAGTAAAGAAAGTTAATTACTGTGGATGAAATGGATTTTATGTCAAGTAAAAATTCCATTTATATGTTATGTTTCTTAACCTTCTAACTTAATGCATCTACAGGTGGATGAAAGCCAGACCGGAGAACCTGGGTGGCTTGGTGGAGAATTGAAGGGAAAAACTGGATGGTTCCCTGCAAACTACGCAGAGAAAATACCTGAAAATGAAGTTCCAGCATCTGTAAAACCAGTAGTTGAAGCTGCTGCTGCACCTAAAGTTTCTGTGCATGAAACAACTACATCACTAGGAACTCCTGCGTCTACAGAGTGCACTACAACTGCCAATAACTGGGCAGACTTCAGTTCAACGTATGTTTGGGTAGTGATTATCACCGCAAATGTGCTTGAGTCTTTTTAAATCAATTGCATTGTGGTGGGCTGTTAGCACAGAGTACACAGATTGCAAAACAACACAAAAAAAATTGCTCCCAACATGTAGAGCAGTAGAGAAGGACACATCACAAATGGGAGAAATCTCTAAGTGAGGATGGTGACACCATTGTAGATATCCCAAGAAGTTCACCTTTCTTATCTTTTACTGATTGACATCAACCCTCATTGAAGGTGTCCAACTTGGATTATGCAAAATAAGTTAATGACAGAGTTAAAATAAAAAGATGATTTATTAGTTCCTTATCACAACATTAATAAGGCTGATAGAAGTAGAACATGTGTTCCAAAGATGTCTTATTAACTTCATACAATATTGATCAACCATTCAAAATTTTCATCAAGTAGGTTGCAGTAGTACTACTGGATATTTAAACTTCTGTTCTACTAAAAAATGTACTTTATCTCAGAGGTGAGGGAGGGATAAGACTAAATATTGAGCTTTCTGAAGATGTTTGGCATGTATGTGCTTTATTGCTTTTAAATAAAGAGTGCTTCAGTTTCAATACCCAGAACATTTATACTGATATGACATGACATATTTATACTAATATGACATATAGTAATTGACATGATACAGGTTAGTGATGTTTGTGGCCTTTGGGTGAGCAACACTTGATTATTCCGACTAATAGCACAAGAAACAGTTAAAGACTTAGATTTAAGCTGGGTGTTTTGTTCATGCTGCTAGAGGTCAGAGAATTTTGTTCATTTAAGAGGATATTTTGAGGTGGATCTTGAGATTTGGTTGACATTTTGAAGGACAAGAGAGAGCATAAAACTAAAAAGCTGAAAAAAGTCCATAGGAGATAATTTTATGCAAAAAAAAAAAAAAAGGTAAGGATTTTAATAGTGAAAATAAGCAGCAGCAATATGATGCATAAGTGACATGCAGGTATGAAGACTTCAAATCAGTTTTGTACTGAATTATGACTATTTTCTATTAGGTTAACTCTTTACACTGTGCATAATAAAGGCTGTACAACTTACTATTTTCACTGTATTGGAACACATCTAAAAATTAAATTAAATTAAGAAACAGCTGGCTGTAAATGAGTAAGGGCAAGCAACTGTTCTTAGAGATCACCTTTTAGAGATATATTTATTATAATCCTATGTTTGATTGCACTACTTCCACCTGAGAGTTAAGCTGCTAATAACTCATGGAATATTCAACTACAAGAAAGAAACCTAGAATGTAGTCTTTATTTCTGTACAATCTTCCCACATGAACATTGTTATTCAGCTGAAAATAATAGGAATAATGTCATTTGCTTATTTTCAGATGGCCTACAAACACTAATGAGAAACCAGAGACAGATAACTGGGATGCCTGGGCAGCTCAGCCGTCTTTGACTGTTCCCAGTGCAGGGCAGTTGCGGCAGCGATCAGCTTTCACTCCTGCCACTGTTACAGGATCATCTCCCTCTCCTGTCTTGGGTCAGGTGAGCAGCTATGTTCATTAAAACTGTTCTGACCCAGCATGAACTTCTGGACAGCAAAGAACACTGGCAGTTAAAGCAGTCCTCTGGTGGTGAACTATATCAGTTCAAAGTGATAAAGAGTTAGTGGTAGTGGCACAATTTAACATGAAGAAGCTGCTATTCTGCACTGGCTTTTTACAACTGTGGTGGTCCAGTCTTAATGTTTTGGCAGGGTGCTATTTTTGGGTCACTTCCTTTGGCTTTTATTGAATCACATGACAACAACCTTTGTTCCAAAGTGGATTATATAGTTAAGTGGTATAGCAATGGCAAAGCTTCACACCAGATGAGTTCAGTCCATCTGTTAAGGCACTACATTTTCCTCAACTGGACATACTGTTTTTGTAAGCTAATGTGCTGTTCTGAAAAATGCTAAATACCTTAGTGTCTTAGAGCAAAACTAAAAAGTTGCAATATACAATACATAACTTGCAGCAAAGCATCATTTTCCATAAAGTTTACTTTAAACCCTGCCAAAACAGCTTCATCAAGGTTTAAGACATGTATATCTTAATTGCAAAACTTGTAAAAAAGCAACCCCCCAATAATTTTGCATTGTAGCGCTTACATATTAACACAAATGGAGGAGGATTTTGAACATTTCTTGTATTATTTTGTAATTGTAATTGATATATTTTGCTTTATGCAGTTGAGGAGAAGTCTGTGTATTTTGTTGCTAAATAAGTAGCATAAGAATAAGATTCCTTAAGAAGCTTTCTTTATGAAAGGTGGTGCATGACTGACTACTCTCTTTTTTCAAATTTGCATTAGGGCGAAAAAGTGGAGGGGCTTCAAGCACAGGCTTTGTATCCTTGGAGAGCAAAAAAAGACAACCACCTTAATTTCAACAAAAATGATGTCATCACAGTTTTAGAGCAGCAAGATATGTGGTGGTTTGGAGAAGTTCAAGGACAAAAGGGGTGGTTTCCTAAGTCATATGTGAAGCTTATTTCAGGCCCCATTAGGAAGTCAACAAGGTATTGTATTTGCTTTTACCATACTTTATGTCTATAATGTAATAGTTAAATAAATATGAAGAGTTGCACACTTGAGTGTTAAAGTTTGGAATCTACTCTGTAAAAATGATTTTATGCAACTCTTCTCTAGGGTGTTTTGGCCTCCAACTCTAAAAGTTCAGTTTAGGAACATGTAAGCTGACCTCAGTTCTCCTTCCACAATGCATCACCAACAAAGATCTAAAGTTTAATAAATTCTTAATTTTATGTGACATGAAACTAAAAAAAATTGTATTTTGGATATTATGAATTACATCTATGTAAGTCTTAGATTATCTTTCCCCAAAATAAAAAGATATACCTCAAAGCTTAATCACTTACCATTACTCTTGGAGGATGAAACGATCAGAATCTGGTTCTGTGTAACATGACGGCGACATTAACATTAGTTAAATAAATTAGAATGATTTTAGATTTTTTCCTCTTTTGAGGGAAAAGAGGAGATGTAGCAATTTGTGTATTTAATGTAATTACCTAATTTTAACCATGACTAGCCATTGTACATAAAAGCTTTAATTTGTAAATTCACTATCTCTATTTAAGGGAATTGCTTATGGATGTATATGCATATTTTGGTTTTAAAATACAGTAAGCATCTTCTGAAAAAGTTTAATTTCTTAAATAACCGTTATTCTCTTCTAAAGCATGGATTCTGGTTCTTCAGAAAGTCCTGCTAGTCTCAAAAGAGTAGCATCACCAGCAGCAAAAGCAACTATGTCAGGTGAAGGTAAGCATTCCAAACTGAATAGCACTAACAGTATTCTACTATGTAATGAAATAAAAGCAGTCTACATATTACCAGAAAACAAGCCTAGAATCATCCAAACAAGCCTGTTTTAAGATTAGGCCTGTTAGAATTGAAGTGCAAATCAGTTTGCTTCTAGAGCGATTTAAGGTGATTGTAGTAAAAATTTGTAGATGTTGTGTCTGTAGAAAAAATAATTTCACATGCTATTAAAATTTCTTCTACTGTTCCGTATATAAATATTTTGGTAACCAATGGAAGCATTTAGGATGTTTTTTTGCAGAGGGCCAAATAAACACGTAGCTATATATGCTTCATGATGTTAGGAATTATTAATAGATGCCTCAATTGCCCTCAAAACTCATTTCCAGTGTTTCATTAAAACTATTTATAGCTAATTTCTTTAGCTGAAAGTTGTGATCTTTGTAGCCAAGGCTACCCCCCATTTTTTAAGGATGGAGCATGAGGCACAGACAACTGTCAGTTTTCTAGAGGGTTTTTAAGAACTTGCATCCCTGGTTGTTACCACTCTTCGTCTGGAGGTTATTGCCTCCATATGAGCTGGGTTAACAGACCGTGGGCACTCTTAATCCACTTCAGGGCAATGCCAGCTAGGTTAATTTAAATTACAGAGTAAATCAATTAATCTAAATATAGTTTACAAATGAACATTTTCATATAATCTCTACAGAACACCTGAAGCTTTTCAACTACAATTCTACATAGGATTTCAGGTGAAAGAATCTCTTTGGTTACTGACGTACTTAATTTGCCACAGGCATTGAGCATGAGAAAAAAAAAGAGAATGTTAAAGATCTATCCAAAATGGAAAGTGAGATAATAAGTTATTTCAAAATATAACTAGACTGGCTTGCTATATATTTCAGGAAATGGAATTTAGAAATGCTAAGTATTTTTTTTTAACATGGAATATCTCAGGTTATATGTTAGTATTAAAAGGGAACACAACTTTAATAAAAACATGTCCAAAAAGCTGTATTTTTAAGAAATAATCACAAAGAATCTCAGAATGGTTGACGTTGGAAGGGACTTCTGGAGATCATCTAGTCCAGTTCCCCTACCAAGCAGGGTCACCTAGAGCAATAGAATAGAAGATGCTAAAACCATATTTCATTAGGTGTAGAGGATTTAAGAAATACGTATTTAGCATACATCATGAATTTTAATGTATGAGTCTATATGTGTACAAACAGATGTATGTGTTCTTCAACTACAGTCATTAGACAAACCATATCTTTCATTAAGGATGGTAATTGTGGTTTGAATTCTTGCTGAACTTCAGTAATAAATCTGAGGTTTTTGGTCAGATTTAGTGTTCAAGCAAAGAGAACAGTTTCCAGCTGTAATGGAATACTTGCATGTTTTTGTCAAGTATTCATGAAAGTCTGCCTGAAGTATCGTGAACTGCTCTTACTTCCAGAGCTGGTCCTAGAAACGGATGATATAATAGTCAGTGATCTATTTTATGCCCCACAGCAAGTGTGATATTGCTCAGTTAAAGAGGAATTGTATAAAAAATGTTACTGGATTGTCTGAAATTCTTTGTAATTCTTTGTGTAGAGTTTTTTCATGTAGTTCTGTGATTCAATTATGCATTGCATTTCTCAATGTCAGTCTACATTAGTGTTTTTGCACTTGAATACTAAGTAGTTGACTGTGTTTTAACAAAACAGAACACATTCGGGCTTTGTCTTGACATTTCCCAGCCATCTGTTGCATAAGATGCAAAGAGATGTGTGCCCTTCATGCAAAGCCTCAAGTAATGAAAGAATTCATTGTACATGAGAACCAAACAGCATATGTAAGATGAAGACTGTATCTACAGATGTTTGGTTACTGAGATTTTTCTGTCCCCAAGATTGAAAATGCTAGTAATCATCACAAAACAGAGACCATTGAGAAATGTGTTCAAAGTAGTTTCTGATATAAAGTAATAAAGTACGTAAATTTTAATTGTACTTGCAAATTACTTTATCAAAAAGATTCCTTCCTTCAAGCCGCCTCATGATAGCTTTTATTTAGTTTTGCTCTAGAAGATTTTATTTTATGTATTAAATATTGAGGAATTATCAATAAAGTATTTAATAAATTTATCTTCTATCTAGCCTGTGGATAGACAATATTATATTAGGTTTATCAAATGATAATTGAGCGGTTTATCAAATGTTTTCCCTTGTTCTGTATTTATTTCCCTCTTGCAGAGTATATTGCTATGTATACTTATGAGAGCTCTGAACAAGGAGACCTAACCTTTCAGCAAGGTGATATGATTCTTGTGACAAAAAAAGATGGTGACTGGTGGACAGGAACACTGGGTGATAAATCAGGAGTATTCCCATCTAATTACGTGAGACTCAAAGATTCTGAGGTAGAGACATTGAATTGTTATAACATTGAGTTGGGGGAGGTACGTTTTGTTCGGTGTTGTAGTGACAGTTGCAAGTCAGTGGTTCATAAGGGAATGAAAAATATTTACTGAATGTGAAGTTGGGAAAAAACAAAAATAATTACATTTCACAACATAAATTCTTAAGTAACATTGCAAACCATTTATGAAAATAACTTTTGCATATGTTAGCAGTTAACTTGGCTGTTTTGTAGAGACAAGTCAAAATAGCTGTGATTATGTGGTTTTCCAGGTAAGTTTTTAATGACTGAGTTGTATCTTACTGTTATTTTCTTTAAAAAGATAGTAAGGGAAATATTTCAGTTTATTATCTCTTTTTTTCCTTTTCTTTATTTATTACAGTGTTCTTGCAGTCCAGGGGAACAAATTTAGCAAAAGAACTTAGCTAACTGCTAAATCTATTTGAAAGTTATTGATCGTATAGAGGTTCTGTCTCATCTGATTTTATCCCGGAATAATCTGATAGAGCATGTCTGTATTAAATTTTTTCCTTCTTTGTAGGTATTCTTAAGAAAGATGCTTTCTCATTATATTCCATATTTATTTGAAACAATAATTCTCACTTACCAGTAGGAATCAGCTTAGTGTCAGCTGCATAGAGTACTAATCTCTTGACAGAAGGAGTTCTTGTTTGTGTCTCTAAGAATAACAGGGTTTTTAAAGATATTAAATGCAAACAAGACACCTAAGTTCTCTACTGGATTTTCAGAAATCTAGGTAGTAAGGCTTTTTCCATAAGTGTTGGCCTCTGTGTTTATGTAGCAATGAAGGGCTGTAATCTGCAGTTGCGGAGATTGAGCAAAGTCATTCCTTAAACTTGCTTCTGTTTACGAAAAAACAGAAGAATGAAACCTGCAGTGAAACAAGTAGCTGTAGAAAGACTTTATGTAGTAAATTTCTAGATAATAGAGAAGCATCAATAACATCCTCTGGGATAGGATCAAAAAATTATCATTAATTATGTTTAGTCTTACAGTCCTTGGGAGAAATAGTAGTGTGATACTGCTTTCAGAAGCATTTTAGAAAAATTTCTTATCTATATTTTGCATCATGTAACTATTTCCTTGAATCTGTAGGCTATGGAGCAGCAGACGAAGTTGGATCAGGTCCCAGACTAGAATAGCAGTACTTAATAGTTGTGTTAGTCAAGTATTGTAGCACTATGGTGCCCATCATAGCAGACTAGCTTGCCTTTTTGTCACCAGGAGTAAATTTTTTACAGTAGCAAGTTGTGATGTTGCTTCAGTAGGGCAGGGTAGAGATAGGCCAGGTGTGCTTTTGGAGTGCAGGATGTGGATTATAGTTCAGCCCTGCCAGTAGTTCTTGACATACATCAAAAAGATGTTGTCTTGCCCCATGGTGGTAGAAGCAGGTGTACAGATAATGAACTCCCTAGCTGTGGAAGTTCATGTGATCATGAAACTGAGCCCTAAGTCTCTTTATGTTACTTGGAAGTTTATATTGTAGTTGATGAATGGGAACCTGCAGGGTCAGCTTCCTAAAGCCCTGTGAGGCCTATTTCATAGGTTTATAGTAATAGTTACTAATTAGTTATTTAGCACTAACTAACGGAAAAGTAACTGAAGTTAAGTTTAATTTGAAGGACCTGTTTTTGTTTTCCCTTGAGATATCCTTAACACAGTTCAGTCACAAAACCTGCGAATTTATATTCAGATATGGTGAGTTGCCTTTTGTGTGCCCTGAAGGATTGGACATACCAGATGCTTGTCCTGTCTGCTGAGGGACAGGCAGACATATTGGCAAGTCTTTGTAGAGAACTCAGAAATAGACATTTAATTCTGAAAACTATCTTTATTAGAGAACTCAGTTTGATGTTTCGCTGGTCTCAGCTTGTCTGGGGCTCAAACAACTAAGTGCAGTTTATCAAAAAGTGCTCCGACTGCCCTTTTTGCTGATGAAAACCACATCTTCAGATAAAATCTTGATGAGAAAAGGAGGAAGGAGCACAGAGCTCATGGAGATCTTTGTATTCAGGACGCTTATTTTCATGAAGTGATTCACATGCCCCACAGGAGATAGTTGTTGTTCCAAGTGGATAATTGCCATTACACATACAGGGTTTTGCTATTCAGCTTGTTCAGAGAGCCAGTTTTTAAAAAGGATTTCACAATAGCGGCTGTCTTAACTTTCAGATGTGCTGCTGTGCTTGGACAGCTGCTGGCTGATCGTGAAAAATCTTACTAAAAAAGTAAATTAATTTAATGTGTTCTGCACTGTTGACTCAGGCCTGAAGAAAAATTAAAGGCAGTGCTGATCTTTCAATAGTGCTACCCTTTTGCCTCAAGCTACTAAATTAAAGAATTTCCTGTCCCTTACAGTTTCAACACATTAACAAAGTGAAAACCCTTATGTTCTTCAAGTAAACAACTATCCTGGTTGATGGTCTGTTATCGGAGTTTTCAGTAAGTTGTGGTAGATGTATACAGATCTGTAACAGGTTTTTATTTTACCCTGCCTTTCCTTGAGACTGGTAATAATTACCTCTGTGTTAGGGTACAGGGATTATAGGGTAGAGTTGGAAAAACAAAAATTTAGACCTCTCGATGTATGAGACTTTGCATAAATGTTCTGAAAACTCTTAGCAGCCTGAATGTATTTACTCTACATTGTAAGGGTCTCATTTTACAACACAACTGGCAATTCTACTGCTGTGTCTTACTAAATTAGCAAATAAGTTATTTTCTGCTGTTTCAAGAGACTTTATCCTTTGTCACAAAATATCCTCATAGGCAGTCATCATCTTAAGTGTACAAAAGGGAAATAGAATAAGGTATTTCCTCACTATGATGTTTCTCTTAGCAAAAGGATACAAAATATTTCTCCAGCTCTTCAGGTAGCCAGCAGTCGGGTCCATCTTTAAGTGCCTTATTTGTTAATTTAGATACTTTTGAAGCACTGAAGGAGTTTTCTATGTATTTCTTCTGCTTTTTACCAAAGGTGCAAAGAGTCTTTGAAAAGAAATCAGACTGAGTCTGCTCAATGTGATTTTGAAATTCCTCTCTCAAAATACCCTTGATATGTTTACCAGTAAAGTGCAAAGAGACAGTGTCACAGCCTGTTTTATCTGCCCACACCTGCCTCACCTGGCAAAGAGGATGTTGGTTAAGTGATATTTGGAAGGAGTTTGTTCTTTTGGAGGTCCAAGTACTTGTTCTTTCTTAATGGGTGGTGGTTCTTTGCCAAAAATACATACCAAATTGTATCAGTTCCCGATGCTGTCATGTCAGTGTCAGTTGTCGCCCCTGGTTCCAGAACTTTTAATCTTCCCTACTCGGGACTGTGGCCCTTAGTCTTTGTATCCAATCTCTGTATGATGCTTTCCTATTTCATTTTGTTAGTTGATATAGGTCACAGTGGTCATAGAGAAAGGTAGAGGGCAAAAGAGAAAGAAGGGAACCTAGGGAAGAAAGGAAGACTTGCTGGCCTTCTAGAAAGTAATTATAATCAGTTACAATTACAAAAAAGTTGCACTGAGACTGCAGTATCCAAGTGTTGTTTAATGTAAAGTATCCACTTCCCACAATCCTTCCCAAAATTTAACTTGAAAAACGTCAAAGTTTTGAAAAGAAGAAGTGTGTATGGAAGATGCTTTTGTGCCAGATGTTAAATAAGAAATGAAATAAAACCTTCCCCATCCCATTTCCCCACTCTCATCTTCCAGTAGCAGTTACAGGTTATAGGGCAAGCCATGCCAATTCTGCTGACTAATACAGCATTGTGAAGTGTTATACTTTAGCCGGAATGGTCAGGCTTCTGCAGTAGCTTTTCTGGAAAATGTCCAAAACGTTGTCACAGAGCAGCTACATAATCTTCAAGACAGGTGTTTTCCTAATAATCTATTTTATAGAGGCATTCAAAACCAATGCACATTTTAAAAATGGCACTGTACTGTCAGTTATTTAACTAGTTTTCCAGTTATTGCTTTTATTGGTTTCTGTGTCAGAATCCACAACTTTTTAAAATGTCAACTTAAGGAGAATATTGAGGATGAAACCGATCTTTTCCACAGAGAAATTCTGAAATTCTGGGATTCTGAAAATCTGGGATTCTGAAACCCCTTGGGTCATTTATTCATGTAGGCTGCAAATGTGTGGGGAGGATCCTGAAGAAGTTGAGGGGAGACTGAAGTGTTGTGAGCCTCCCTTGAAGTTTTCCTTTAAGGATTTTACAGATATTCAATATTTCTGACCAAAGTGCAGTTTACGTTTGGTATGTTGCCATTATCCATGTCTGACCTTTTTATTGTAGAAGAAAAGTCTGGCAATGTTCTGGGAAAAAAATTAGGTAATTATTTAAGGGATCAGGGAATCTGTCCTATACAGGGTGTTGACCAAAAAGGTTGGCAAGATAACTGAGGAAGGGTGTGTGCAAGGGGTAGAGTCCAGATTACACATGGTTTTGAATACTCAAATTGCATGAATAGCACTAGATCTGCAAGTGCATTTAAAAAACAAAACAAAACAAAAACAAAAACCAACCAACCAACCAACCAAACACCTCCTTCCAAATAACTGGTGGCCTTAAGGGAAGATTTCTTTTTCAGCAAAAGAACTTTGAGTTTGTAAATTATGAAAGCTTTTCATGCTAAGTTTTATATTTCAGTATAGCTGGTTCCCTACACATAACTGAACTAGTTCCACTGCTTGCTGGATTTCTCATGGGTGTTCACAGGGGCTTTTCTCACATTCCTCTTGGCCTGGATGGTGGTGATGTTCATTCTTCATCTCACCCCATCTAGATTTAGAGAAATAACTACCTTTGTCAAAACAAATTGCACTTCAGTACTATTCAGCTATAGCTATTCAGTGTCCTGTGTTCTCAGTTGTGCATGAAAAAGGTGGTGGAGTTTTTACTAGTGTAACACATATCCCCTACAAAGTTCAGATAACTCACCTTAGAAATGCAGTGAAGGATTTTTGTGCTGACTATGCTAGTCTGCTGTGTAAGAAATTTTAGAAATTATGGATATTATTGAAATAATTATATGGGTTAGCCTTTTAAGCATATTTGTAATCCTAACTATTTGTAGAGTTGAAAACTACTATTGCTGTTTTAACTCAATTTGGCAGAATTCACATTTTGTAGATCCCCAGATTTACAGTGAAAATGCTCTGTAATTTGGAATTACATTGGTATTTGCAGTCTATGAAAGGCAAGAGTTCAGGAAAGATGTCTTTATATAGTTATACACTTCCATGTACCATTTGTAATTTATTTCTATATATTAATTGCCATCTCAAATACTAAGAGTTCCCGCAAGAACAGAGACTTCCTTTGAGAGATGTTTATTCTCATCCTTTATTGGTGTGTTAAAGAAAAATGTATTAAATAAATTTCATATACTGACAAAATAATTATGAGTGCTAAACTTACATCTTACTTTCTATTTCAAGGCTTCTGGAGCAGCTGGAAAAACGGGAAGCTTAGGGAAGAAACCTGGTGAGTTATATATAGTGACAGCACCTTATATCTGTTATTGAATAGTATTTATTTCTAATCGGTGAGAAATTTCAATGGAAACAATATAAATTCCATAGAAATGATGAATTGGTTGCTCTTGTTCATTTGTAGATTATGAAATACATTGTTCTGCTTTAGTAATTTGCACTGATGAAAACTGTTGTCTATATTAAAATAATGTGTAATCTGTCAATCGCTATATCAAAATAGCATATAGCTGGAGAATAAAAATCTGTTTGCTCAAAAATGAATGTAAGCTTCATGATAGATCATCAAACGGAACAGTGGAAGCCTACAAAAAGCTCAAGTTTACTGCTGTCTCTAATTGGAAGTACACATTCCACACTGTGGTTTTCCAGCATTTTGCCCAGAACAATGCACAATATGGCATACATTGGCTCTGAGCTGTTGTGCCTGCCTCCCGTTTTCGAGACCACATAACCTTGTTTAAGAGTTTAAGAACAGTTTGAGACCAATCCTGCCTATTTTTCAGCAAGGAGATTCGTGGATGTTTTTGCTATAAATGAGCTTCAACAGCTCAGCCAACAGAAGTGAAGCACTTATGAACAAGGTGAAATATTCCAGTTTATTCTAGAAGCAGCAGAATGAGCATGTGGATATTGGTAATAGTGTATGCTGAAGAGCAGGGGAAAATAAAATTGTATCTTTTGGAATTTAAGCAACTATATGAGGACTATTATATCTGTGAGAAGACATTTATTTCTTTTTTTCTAAATGAATGTGTTTTGGGAGAGACACGTTCTCCTGACCCAAACTGTGACTGAATTTGATCTCTTCTACTTAATTCAGTATTTAAATATATCAAAATTAAGAAGTTCTTCCTGGACTGAAAGCTATTTCTTTCATTTAAAAAAACAAATAAACAAACATAACAAACAAACAAAACAAACAAATAAAAAACAAACAGAAGTTTTTGTTCAGTGTTTTCTCCAACTTTCTGCTTCTCTGTGACATGCAAGAGCTGGATGCTAAACTTGTAATTCAGACTGCAGCTTGTTTAACATGCAATCCACAGTAAAAAATCTTTATGTTGCCTATTGGTGAAAGGGGATGTCTGCTACCTGGAGCCTTGTAGATCACAATTTTGTAGATAAAAAGGAGAAAATTTTTGTTCAGAGATGCAAGCTGTAAGATTTTTGCTCTCTCAATAGAATTGCATAGTGTGATGTACTGAATATTATAATTGTCATGGTAGTAAGAGAGGCTTTTCATAATTAAAAAAATGATTTTTGCGAACTCCCACATTTGGTGTCTTTGCTTGTGTTCATTTTGTGTTCTGAATGGCTCTAAGGTGGAGGAGTTGATGTGATTCTGTGAAAAATTTGTAATTGCAGGAAGCTTGTGGACTTTTTAGCAGGGTAGCCGTGTTTCCTGCCAAAGAGTTTGCTTTCTTTGCCTTCATCCTGAACAGCTTGTGCTGCTGCTGGCTTTTCTATGTGTAAACCTTTCTGTTCTCCTACTATCACCTACTGTATTTTACTTAGCAGTTCTTTCTTCCATCTTGTGCTTTCACACTTGAAATGCTACTTTTCAACTTCCAGAACCACATGTAAAATCATTCTAACTTTCAGCTACTAGCATTTTCATCACCTGCTTTTTTCTATCCTTCCTTGCATGCTCACATTGGCGTGCCTCTCTTCAAGGCCAGGCTGGATGGGGCTTTGGGCAGCCTGGTCTGGTGGGAGGTGTCCCTGCCCATGGCAGGGGGTTGGAACCAGATGGTCTTTAAGGTCCCTTCCAACCCAACCCATTCTGTGATTCTATGAGGGAGGTTTTGCTATAGATAGTTCTGTGTGTGTCTTTGTTTCCAGCAACCACAGACTGCTTGTCACCACTCTAATTCTTCATCCTCCATATGTTGTTCATTTGCATCTTCAGTTCTTCTCTTCATTTTTCATTTTCTTACTCATCCTTTTCTTCTAGATTTCAAGTAAAGTATCTGATTGTTTTCTTGTGTCCTCAACACACTTTGTTGTTACTCTCCGGCAAGAAAACCTCTCTCTATTTCAAAGGAGATACCTTCAGGTTACCTCTCCTTAAAAAACTTCATTTTCAATAATTGCTCCCTTTCTCTCCATTACCAACAGATGCCCCCTCCTTTCAGATACGCTGTTACTGAGCGCCTTTACTGTTTCCCATGGCCAGAGGAGGTTTGGTGCTTGTTGACAGAGAGGGCCCTGTAGGATGGTGCCCAGCACTATTCTACTTTCATAGTATGGGTAACCTTGTGAAAGCTGGGAACCACTTCTGTATACTCACTTAAATGTGATAGACTACTGGGTTTAGTTTACCAAAAGGAAAAAAACAAAACCACAAAACAACACAAATTCACCATATTTTGTTTAGCGAAGGTTCCCGATAATCAGGGTATTAAACATATTCTCCATCACCCTAACCGTGTTTTGATGACATGATAAACTTGGCTTTAAAAGCTATCAGTAGGACATTAAAAAAGCCCACAGCTGTTTATAAGCTCCTGTCAGTTCAAATCTGTTCAAAAATGTGTTACCCTGCCAGGCTTTGTGGTGATTAAATGATCACCTATCTTTCCACAACTACTGTAACAAGGAGTAAACTGCCTTAGCTACTTTGGCTAATTTAACAGAGAGAGAATTGTGAGCTTACCATTACTCCGTGCCAACTTTGTGCTGCTAGGTGACTGAGTAAGGCACCAGTTTTGTATTAGTGTCCATGAAACAGAGATTTCAAAATAAATCCTGTTTGTCGCATTTCAAAAGCTTTCTTTTTTCTTTTTTTTTTTTTTTGTCTAGTCTGGTAGTGAGAAATTTTTTGCAGGTTTCATTAGTTTGCACCTTTGTTGTTACAACTTCTTCATTATAATTATCACCAACATCCATCTCCTTCCACTTTTTGGCAAGCATAGTCCAAATGGATGATACAAAAAATTATTGGAAATTGGTGTTTATTGAAAAACAGTGTTATGACAATTGATTTTGTGTGCTAGCCAAATTACTTTAATGGTGGCCATTATTATTATTCTCTATTTCACGTATTATTTGTATTGTACCCATAGAGTTGCTGCACCTGTTTTATTCCTGTAGTATTGTGAACTTAAGGAGGAACATCTGATCTGTTTTGTGATTACAATTGTTTTTAAGAAACTACATAAATACCTTACAATTTTATAGAAAGAATTGCAAAATAGAAATACTGTGCCAGTGATAATAGTGGAGTTAATATTGTATAGAATATGTTCTATTTTTTTCCTCAGATTAATTGTTTTTTTCTGTGCTTTAACGTAACTTCATAACTTTTTCTTTTCTTTTCCTTCTCTTTTTTTTTTCTTTTTTTTTTTTTTTTTCTGCTTTAACAGAAATTGCCCAAGTTATTGCCTCTTACACAGCAACGGGTCCAGAACAGCTTACTCTTGCTCCTGGTCAGTTGATTCTTATCAGAAAGAAGAATCCAGGTGGCTGGTGGGAAGGAGAGCTCCAAGTTAGTTACTGTTGTTGTTTGATTTTTATTTATTTATTTTTAAATGAAATTCCATGTAAAGTAATCTAATAAGTTCAAAATGATGATTGCATCAGCATCAACTAAGCTATTACAAGTAAAATGCCTTTACATTCCAGTTCCTTGAAATTGAAATAATTTTGAGAACAGCAGGAGGAAAACTTGTCTCATTGTAAGGCAAGACCAATGTAAGACCAATTGAAAAGTATTTTACAGCAGTGCTTGTTGTGAGATGGCCACCACTTTTTCAAATTGCTTATGAATGTGACAGTATAGATTACCATTATAATAGGTTCACCTCAGCAATTCAGCAATGACTTAATTTTAATGTAGAAGAGTAAAAATAATGGTGTCTGTTGCAAGCATCGGAGAGGAGAGTGTTAATGTTGTGTAAGAAGATAACAGATAATAAAATACTGCAAACAAATCTGAGGCTTTCAGTGAAAAAGCTTTCTTTTTTTCAACTGTCCTCTATACCACCTATTTTTTTTTTTATTTTTTTTTAATAGGGAACAGTATCTGAAAAAATGTAATAGATTTGTTTGTAATGCACATGTTTGAACTAATTCAAATTTGGATATTTTTTCCATGTTACCACGCACCTTTTTTGCTTTTCCTGGTGATATTTTTTCTACTTCTTTTGTGGATAAATCATCTTCTGAGATTTGGTTTTCATTCTCGCTAACCTTTATGCTGTTGTTAACTTTTAACTTTGAGTCTCAAATTAAAATTGTGCAAAAAAGTCACAAAATAAGCTTCACTTGGCAAGAGCTGACACCATTACCAGGTAACAGCTAATGAACAGAGTGAAGTTTTTTTTTGCTTTAATTTTTAATTGTGTACTTATCTGTAACTTTGGATACCTTACTATCTTATGTTTAGTTTTCCAACTATTTTTTTCATTAGAAATCCCCTTCCTATTTTTTTCACTCTCCTCTTCCAAGATTGTAATACTAGTCTTTGCTCCTTTGTTATATGAGCACAAGGGCTAATGGAGCAATACTGGTGAAACAGATTGAGGAACTGATTAAAGATAGAAGCAACAACAACAAAGCAGTTTTAATAAGATGACTAGATTTGGAGAAGGACATTGATATTAATTTATTTATGTATTAAATTTCAAAGTGGCAGTTTTTTAAAAAAATATATATACTGTTAAGTTTCAGCCTAAAGTAAATATTGATCGTACTTGTCTGAGGGGTCATAGTAAAGGTGAAATAAAGTAAGGCAAATGTGTTACATTACATTACATTGCTGGGTGCAGTCTTCCAGAATATCTTAAAATGAATGTTCTAGAAACACTGTAGATCAAATGCTGTCATTTTCAGTAAAGAAGAAAAGAGGGAAGGAAGTAGCTATGTAATACTTATATGTGTTAGATGATTTTTTTCACTATAATTAATATCTATTTTGTTTTTAAGGAAATACTCTACATGCTTAAAATTCTAAGTTTATTCTAACTACAAAAAAGGATAAGTAGCTAAAGTAATTATTAACATAGTTTTAATAGATTTAGAAGCAGAGATTTAATTCAAAGTTTTAGAATAATGTCTCTTACCTGAGAAAAATAAAGTTGTTTTTTTTTTCTGATTTTATTTGCAATGAACAATGCAGTTGATGAAATAACAGGATGTAGTTTCTGTCAAATTTCTATTATGCTTTGGTAACGCAAGTTTTGTCACACCGGATCAGGCCTGTGTTTGTCTGTCCCAGTATCCTCTTTCTGACAGTGACTAATTGCAGCTGCGTTACAAACCTTAGAGCCCTCTTTTAGGTCAGGTGTGTGGTAGTCTGTTTCTCTCTCGGCATACACACAGACCACACGCATACTAATACGTGTGTGCACCACATTTTTGTAGTGATGTTATCTGATTAGAGAGCATGAGAACATCTGGTATACTTTCCAGAACCCTAGCATCTGTTAATTAGGATCATTTGGATAGTATCTACCCGTATATAACTGTATTTGCCAGAGCTTACTTTTTGTTTGATTGTAACACAGCTTGGGGATTTTGTATTTGAATCTGAACTTGACCCATTTTTTCAGACCATAATGTTTTACTGTAGTTCTAACTCTTGGTTAATGTGACAAATGTTTGTACTCCTCCTTCTGTTGCCTGGGCAGGAGAGACTACTACAAAGTAGAAACTGTTCCTTAAAAGAAAAGAAGTAATTGAGAATCTTAATCTCTACTTAAACTATTACAATTATGGTATCAATTTAAATGCAGTCCTTTTAATTTAAATGCAGTCCATCATAAAAAGCATTTTAATGTTGCTACACATTATTGCCATTGCTAGCCTAACATTCTAGAGTTATGGCTTAAGAAAAAAAATTGAGAAATCTTTTAGAAGGAGTAGGACTGTAGTATTAGTTATAAAGCACACAAATTAGGAAAACTGTTCAGTAAAAAATTACTCAAATTAGTAGTAAAAATTGTTTAGATATTATAAAAACTTACTTCATGTAATGGGGAGTATCATAACATAAAAATATCACCATGAAAATAGCTGACTGTTTCCTTATAAAATTAATTTTTCTTTCTCTAATAGTGTGGCTGCAAGTAGTTAAGATACTGACTGAACTGCCTTGTCTAATGATCTATTGATGTGCTTATTACTCTTAAAAGATTTTTATTTTTTTTTCACTAGGCACGAGGGAAAAAGCGGCAGATAGGATGGTTCCCTGCTAATTATGTAAAACTTTTGAGCCCTGGTACCAGTAAAACTACACCAACTGAGCTACCTAAATCAACAGCATTACCTTCAGGTAAGCAATGTGTTTGCATTAATGAAGTTTCTTTTGTAATGCATGTCATTTACAGTAAGACTTCTAAAAATAATTACAGATAATAAATATATGCCATAGTAGCCACTTTGGAAAATCCTTCATTATTTATTTTTCTTTTAAATAAGAAAAGCATACAGTTGGTCTGTATATTTATTGTGGTGGTTCCTCAGGTGTAATCTTTTGCATGACATTACACCTTAAAGAGTAAAATATTCAAATTATTAGTCCTCTTTGTTTGTTCTAATTGCAGTGAGGGAGCTTTTAAGGGTTCAGGATGGTCCATGGGCTTAGCAGCTGATGTATTTCTCATTCAGAACCTTCTATTTTTCCTAAGCTGACGTGTGAGAAAAATGCAAGGAGATGTAGTTTTTTGTCCTAGACAGCAACTTATTTTAAGGCTTATGAGTGGGTACCAAATTGATAGACCTTTGTACTTTTAAAATCTATTACATTTTCACCATGGGCAGTGATCAGTCTGGTGAATTCTACTGCAAGGTATAAAGCCAGGCAGATGACTGAGAAAAAAAGTTCATTCCTTGTGATTGTTTCAGTCTTTAACAATTTTAGGTTTGTTAGTTGGTGTGTTACCAGGTGGAGAAGATTCTTGTTGAATCAAAAATGTGTAGAACGGATGCATTTTTTTCCACAAGCCACCCAAAAGACTTGTGGTGGTTGTCTACGAGTTTGTGTCCTGTAGTTAGAGCGGTAACTCAGCACTCAGACACAATACCCCAATGTGAAGAGATTTTTTTTGGTAGTTTTTGTTATTTGAATTTTGACCGTCTGGGACTTTTTTACACATGCTAATAAAACTTTTGTTGAATAAACTTTCTAGCACTTTTCTCATCGCCTACAGAATATCAAAATCTTAACGGCATTCATTCTTATCAAATTCAACTTTGTTGGAAACCAGTTATTTCGGAAAGTGAGAGGAAGAAATAGAACAATCTTGCCTTTCTATTATGATAGGTAGTCTAACTTTCTGTGTGGTTAATGTAAGTAGTTAAGAGGTTAACATTTGAGAAGCATCTTCATGGAAGAAGTATGTTAGTGAGGAATCTCGTAGTACAGGACATGGAAAACCTGAAGAAAGCCATTCACAAGGGTAGACTAATGCTCAATGTGGTGTCCTGTGTAGTGTCTAAGTGTGCCATGACTGTCTAGATTTTGAAGGTAGAGGTTCCATCAGAAACTACCAATATTAAAGCCTCCCCTTTGACATTTTATTTATTTTGGTGTATATGCTCTCCATGTATCATACTGTGATGCAAACCGCATGGTTTTAAACACCTCCCCCTCCCCCTTTTTTTTGAATTCTGTTGCATGGACTCTTTTGTTTAATAGTTTGGATGTTTTCTTAATTTCCAACTGCTTTGTACCTGTTCTTTTCTAAAGTTGCATCATGAACATGTCCTTCCTGGTTCTGAGAAATTAAAAAAGCTGTTACTGCTACTTGGAGATAACCACACACAAGGAAGTTCACAGTATAGGAATAGTGGGGAAACGGGTTTCACCCATTCTGCTTGTTTAAAGGAAAGCAACGTTATAGCTTGTACTTACCATCAGTGTACCTTGAGAACCTGGATTCCCTCTGCTGTTGACTAGTATTAATCAATAGACAATATTTCTGAAACAGAAATAAATGGCTAAAAAGCACTGGAGCTCAGAGAAGATAGGCTTTAGCCTGCTTATGTAGTAGGCAATGGCTTTTGGAGCTGTTGCTCTTAGGTGTGAAGAACTAAGTGAAGAACTTTCTTGCAGGGACTACTCGAAGAGCTTTCAATATAGGATGGAGGTGTGTTTTAAGCTTTGTGACCAAGTGTAAACAAGATTAAGATGAGGTCAGTTCTTCAAGTTCAACTGAGGAATCCCAGTTCTTCAAGAGCTCTATTAAATTAGCTCCCCAGGTTTTTAGGTTATTCCTGGGTTCCCATTGCATCCCTTTTGAATCCCACTGAGATGTACTGTTAATACTACTGGACAACACCAAATTTCATAAAATTCTTTGAAGCAGATGAGAAAAATCTGAATGAAAAAATCTAGAAAAAAGTTAACTCTAGAACGGGTTAAAAAATTCTTAATGCGCATACTATATGGTCTAGCTTAAACTTTTTATTGTTCATAATTATTAATAATAACCTGTAAACATATAACAAGAATATTGTAAAACAGATTCACAGGTTTTTTAAGTGAAATATGATCATCAGTGCTGTCCACACATATAAGCTTATATTAGCACAAAACTACCTAAAGCAGGAGTACATAATAATATATTTTTCTTTAGAAATGGTGAATAATATACAGTATGTCAGGGAAATGTATGCTCTGGTTAGTTGATATATTAGTTGATATATTAGGTACGATGAATGCCCCTTTATCCTTTTAGTTTTTATTATTAGTGGTATTATTTTTTCCCTTTTACAAGTAACAAAGCTAAATTTTGAAATATATCCAGAGATCCCATTAAATGCAAAGTGTATTTGATTATGATTGTGAACGGGCACAAAGTGTTAACTAAAAGGAGTTGAATAATTTCTGGAATATAAATTCTAAAAAGAGGGAGGAACTATTTGCCAAATTTAAGTAAGTTGCTTGCTGTGTGTAAGAACGAAAATACAAGAAAATTTTAGACTGAGTATAACAGAGGCAACCTGACAGCAAGGCTAATTAGATAGTAGTTTTGTGTCTTAAGGCAAAATACCAGAAGCCCTGTGACTTGGCATGGAGAAACCATCAGAGAAATAGAGAAAATTAGATATTTAAATAAACACTCCTGCTGCTCTAGATAATTAAGAAAATTACTCTATTATAATTGAACAGAAACAACTGTATCCTGAGAACCAGTCAGGTTTGATGAGTTTCATAGTAAGAAAACAGGAAGTACGCTGCTGGCAACAGTCCTATTGGCTCCATCAGTGGACTTAAATGATCTCATAAGCTTTTTATTTTTCTCACCTTTCCAAAGTTTTAGTGTTCCTAATATCTATAGGGCAGTACAAGGGTATCACCGTTATCTTTCTATAGAGCTGTTAATCATGTTCAGTGCTAATTAGAAAAGAGTGCCTTTCTCAGGCTTCAGACAGTGGAAGTTCCCAGTCTATTTCCCAGACTTTTTTGTCCATTGAACAGTTCTACTAGAAGGGATACTTATTTAGAACTGGTTGGTGAGGATGCAAAATGCAGATTTTATAAATGTACTACAAATTTGGTGCTTTTATGGACAAAAATGTTTATATAAAGCTGAAGAGAAGTGTCAGTAGAAAGCTAGCATCTTTGAATTGTTTGACTTTTTGTTCAAATTAATTTTTTTTTCCAATCTTCTCCCACTGTCGAGCTCTTCCTATGAAAAATTATCCTGGGTGCAGTTCCAGTAGGTGACACTGTTCTCAGTTCCCACTGCTGTGCTCTGCCCTTCCTGTTGTGATCCTGACCCCTCAGTAAGCTGACTGAGAGAATAAAGCTGCTCTGAATGTCTTTGTTATTTTTTTAAATAACCTTGAGCCAATTTAATGAGGGCTCAGATAAGTACCGGTATAGGGGTAGAGGAGAGAGGGGCAGGACCACAGTGGTACCGGTGAAGAGCAGTGTAGTGTCCAGGAACTATCCTGTGACATCTGTAGTGTTTGCAGTAGGTTTACACGTAGCTTATGTTTTGCCAAAATATTGCCAGTACTATAGAACTCTTCCTTTATCTTCCAGTGTGCCAAGTAATTGGCATGTATGACTACACTGCACAGAACGATGATGAGCTAGCATTCAATAAAGGCCAGATTATAAACGTCCTTAACAAGGAAGACCCAGACTGGTGGAAAGGGGAGGTGAATGGACAAGTGGGTCTCTTCCCATCCAACTATGTGAAGCTGACAACAGATATGGACCCAAGCCAGCAATGTAAGTGACCCTCTCTGCTGTCATGCTGTGATTATTTATGTAGTACTTTAAGATGAAACATGCAGCATTGCTGTGATTCTGCTGCGGTTTGCAGAACTCAAAGCTTCACCACTGCTGCACTTGTCAAAGTCTCTTTGAAGACCTTCCGTAATGCAAACCTTACTTTATGTTTGTTTTATTTTTAGTTCCCATCCCCTTTGTAGCATGTTACCTTTTATCATTTTTGCACCATGCTGTTTACATGCCTGACTCATTTTCCTAGCTTGAATTTGCTCATTGTTTTGTTTTGCTTATGTGTTGTTTTCCTCCTTTTTCTAGGAATCATATGTTGTCCATCCCCCACTCAGGCTTGAAAGTCCTCAAAGAGACCCACTATCCCATATCACTGCCCAGAGGGATGATGGGAGATGCAGCCTTGATCATGTGGCTTCCAGCATGATCATCTACTGCCTTCTGAGTAGAAGAACACACTGCAGAGCAGTTTACCTCATTTTACATTAGTTGCATGTAATCGCAATGTTTGAGTTAATTACCTACAGATATAGACGCAAAATTAAATGAAACAAACAAAAGAAAAAAAAAACACAAAAAAAATCAGAGGATAGTGGGTCCTTTTGTGGCTTTCATAGTTACCAAACTAATTTTTCCACCTTTGCACAGGTGCTTTTGTAGTTTTAAGATTATTTTTAAATATATATTTTAGCCTTCTAAAGGAAAAGTATAAATTAAATTTCTTCATTGCAATTTTGTTTGTGCAAAAAGACCCACTATCAAGGAATGCTGCATGTGCTGTTAAAATTGTTCCAAATGTCCATAAATTTGAGACTTTATGTATCTTTCTTTTTTATTGTTCACTTGTCCAGTGTTGTCAATATGTCTTTTTTTTTTTTTTAATTATTATTACAAAAGAACAGAAGGAGTTAAATCAGTTTAAGGAACTTTAAATGTGCCCAATTACAGATAAGGTATTTTGTTGTAGTTCTTGTACTGTATGTATCAGGTGTTCCTTGTTGAGTGTATAATACATTGTGGAGAGAGGAAATTAACTTCCTTCCAATGCAAGAGATATTAACCTTGCATAATGTTGTTATCCCAGTTATGTTAATTTTATTTTGCACATTACTTGTAGCTGCATACAGTTAGAAAACATCCCAGTTTGTGTTTGTCTCAGATGTTTCAGTTTTGGCATTTTCGTATCAGAAATCAATAGAATGCTACATTCATGTGAGATTTGAGAATTAACTTCTTTTTTTTTTTTTTTTTTCATCTTGGTTACATGAAGTTTAATTTCTCATTTTTACTTTCTCATGACTATGGAACAACACTTTTTGAACAAGTAATTTTCCTGACAAGAAAGAATGTATAGAAATACTCCCTGCAATTAATTTCCAATGTTTACATTTTTTTTAAACTAGACTGTGGAATTTATACAAATTAATATTAAATGGAGCTTACAGTCAAGTTTATGTAGTAGGTGTGCTGTAGCTAAGCCATGTTTGTCTTTCCAGCATTAGTTACAAGCTCTTGATGAAATGCCTGGTGCTGTCAGTGCAGAAACCCTCTCTACCCAATGCCTCAAGCACAATTTAGCAATTACACTAATTACTTTACCATTTCGTTATGTTCTGTTTTATGTATTTCATTTATTTCTGAATTTCATGCTGGCAGTGTTGTAGAATTTCTAATCCTACCCCATCTCCCTCCTTCTGACCCACCGTGCAGTGCAAAGAACAAGTGAAGCTCCGTATTCAATTGCACTTCAGTATTTCATCAATATGAATGTAAAATATATAAATATATAAAAACCTGCAGCTTTAACAACTGTAATACAGCCTTTAAAATTAGTTACATGTATAGATAATTAAATTCTTCATATAAAAGCTAGACTAAAATGTGTTTGTTGTCTTGTTGCTGTGTACACACAGAATTCACCAAGTGGCATTAGTGCATGTAATGAATTTGCCACCAGCATAGCCTGAAGCCCACCTGTTTAATTTCAGAATGACACTTGTGTTGTTTCTTTGAATATTATTTGCATATAATTACTCAGATTGATCGCAATTAACTGCAAACTTTTGCACCTTTCTTTCTTTTCTCAATGCTTTCTACATGTTACAAATCAGTAGATATTTTTGACACTATATTAGTAGATATATTAAGTATACTTTATTGTTTTACCATGGGTTTACATTGACTTAGGCTCTGTGTTATATGCCAGAAGCTCTAGTCTTAAAACATGCACAATTGCACAGATTTTCTGTATTTTTAGAATAGTATTTAACATGCACAAATTTTTCATTTATCACCCTGCCATAAAAAAAATAAAATAAAATTTCTTCATCATAGCCACTTGCTGAAAAATATGCTGCCTAGTATCTGACAGAAATTGAACGTAACTTAATACCTGTAATTTTCAGTGCCCGTTGTTTTGCTTACTGAGAACTGTGTAGCCAGATTCTTCTCCATTATTTCAATATTTCATGCATTAAAATGTTATTTTAATGAAAGGGTATCTCTATGTTCCCGTAACGAGCTATTGTGTTGAAAGATTTATAACATGACTAAAAGCATTTGTCCAAAGGGACATTGTGGTTTTTATGACTTCAGGCTAGAAACACATTTTCTCTAAATATTGAAATATTGGCAATACTTTGGATATAGGAGATTCGGATGCTGTTTTTTTTTTTTTTGTTTGTTTGTTTCTGTTTTTGTTTTTGTTTTGTTTTTTTAATCATTACGTCAAGTAAGAAAAAAATAAAACTATTACAATATCTGCAGGTTACACGTTTCCTAACGTGCTTCTTAAAAATGCTGAGAGTGATGTCTCGTAAAAGATTTTCAAAATCACAGTGCCCTAAAAGTTCCTGGGGTCAATTTTCCACTGAACTGAATAGGACAGCCTGAAGTTGTCCCTCTGTAGCCACACACACTGGTATACGTTGTGCCAGGATTCCTCATACAGAAGAGTACTGTGTAATCCTCAACAGAGCAACAGCTTTATAAATCAGTCTATTCTTGAGCATAGTGAACTCACCAAAACCTCAAAACACATTTAGAATGTCCCGGACAAAGATATTCAAACCATTGTGGCTTATATTGAAATTTGTTGTTGAAATATCTATGATGTTTATTTACTCAATTATTAAAATTCTTAAGCCTCCTACGGTAGATCAGCATGGTAGTGTTTAATCTTCCTCACAATCAGTTATCTCCCATGAATAGCAGAGGACATTATATTGCACTTACTCTTTTTTACCTGTCTGGATTTTTGTTAATATATATGAGAAAAGGGAGTATGAAAGTAATTCTTTAATAAAGAAAATGGATTATTTCCATCAAAAAGAATAGTTTTTCAGGGTTGTGTCTCGATCCAGTTTTGACTTTCTGCTCTTCACTAGTTCATCTGAGAAGACCTTTAACCTCATAAACCACACAATCCCCTCGCAAAAGCCACAGATCCGGACTGCAGCAAGCAAACCTGGTTGGAAAAAACACTTGCCTCCTGGGATGGAGATGTGCCCACACTCTTGTCTCTTCAGTTCTTGAATTTTTGGCTGCAAAGCCAACAAACACTAATCCCAGTCAGGGCTGAAACAAGATCTACATTGTCAAAGATAAGAAACTATTCAGATGATTTTCATTTTGATGAAATCTTAATGAAGATTTAAGTCATCTTAAGTCAACATTAAGAAAAAGAGCAAGAGCAGTGTCACTATTGCCTAATCAATTGAATGCATTCTTTATATTAATTTCGATTTGTGAAGTCCCTGGTACCATTACATCAAATCAGGAAGAAGAGCTATCAACTGAGGGATGTAGATGAGACTAGATTTAGGGATTACTGCAACTGGTGGTGTTTTTTTTTTCCTTCACAGTTTCTCTGTTTGTCTAGAGAAGAATTTCCTCTGCGTTGAGATGCTCAGGAAGCATTTCAAGGGATTTGTTAGTATCAGTTCCAATACTTCAAACCTATCCAAGGCAACTCAGGGGCCGTGATGCCAGTTTATCAAGAATGGTCTGCTTTGCATTCAGAACCAGTTCTATTTAAATCTCAGTTCTTTGGAGTTTCAGTGGTATTTCCTTTAGTCCCTGTGAGTTCACTGAACACATTTAAAACAGTCTATTACCATAACCTTCCTGCAAGGCAGCAAAGTAGCTGCATGCTCAGGTTTTGTTCTCTGTTTTTAAAGCAGTTGTTCGGTTCTTCATAACTGTTGTCTCTGGCTCTTTAACTCCTTACAACATATCTCAAATATTATTTGATCGGTTTATGGTAAGCTAAACAGAGAAAGCTAAGACCTTTTGATTTTAAACCCTGACAGAACATTTTCCGAAGATTGTCTTTGATGAAGTTAAAAAGTATTTTCATGAAGATTTCATTTCCTGGATGTAGATCTCACTGGTTTTTATACTGGTTGTTAGTTTGCAAAGGAACATTTTGCCTGGAATAAGGAATCCTTTTGAGTTACTGTCTACATGAGGAGAAATTGTGAGAGTCACCTTAACTTTATCTGGCTTAACCTAGTAACGTTAGTAGGATGTGTAGACATAATTCTGATAGAGGCAACAAATTTCCACCATTTGTTACAGCAAGTTTCATGGCTGTTTCATTCCCCTCCACATTGTTAAAAAAGAGAACAAAACCCAAGAAGTAGCAGAAGTGCTTCACCTCAGCACAGAAATTCAGATTGCAATGTCTGTGTGGAGCCAGAAACTAATTTGAATCACACCTATAACTCTTCTGTAACTTCTATTAAGCCTGTGGAAGAACACAGATTAGAAATCAGATTTTAGAACAAGTTTAATCTTGTGGAATTATTTGAATTAAACATTTCATGGAAAAGGTATCTGATCATGTGTTTAAGTGGAAGGATGTTTATACCTGAGGTAGCTCTTCTACAGCAAGTGAGTTTAGAGTTTTTAGAAGGTGCTGGATTCCCCGTAGCCCTGTGAGACTGTGATCAAAGGATTTGGCTCCATTTTCCAGCATAAGTTTCTCA